AATTTTATATGCAAATACAATATATTATATTATATTATTAGTAAAGCACGGGAGACAAGATGGAACTGTCTTCAACTGTAGTCCCCTCTCTCTTCACTCTGGCCAGAGCATATTTATCTTATGTAGATTATAAACCTGGGGGCAAATTAACATTTTGTAAACCACTTTGAGTGCCTTTGTGACTGGAGAGTGAAGTAAAAATTCCCTAAATAATAATAAACAATAATTGCAATACTCCCTTTCACCCATACATACTCTTTCATGTACTTATTATAATTTATCTATTATATAGTTATTACAGTATATGCATGTCCACATGTGTCAAATGCAAGGTCAGCTTGCCACATCAGTTTATGTGGCCCATGAGGCTTTCAACACCACCAACACCAACAACAACAACAATAATAATAACAACAACAATAACAACTTTATTTATATACCATCCCATCTCCCTAAGGGGACTCAGGGCAATTTCCAACATATACCTCAAAACATTCAGTTGCCAAAAAGGAAAACCATGCCGACAAATTAAAATAAAAATAATAAATCCTAAACATACATCAAAAATTAAAAACCGATTTCATTATAGCTCCATCAGACAGGTTCAAAGTACCAATGGCCGGAATTACAAAGTGGACACAACCAACTATAAAAAGGCTAGGCAAGGGATAGTGCAACAGTGTATCAAGGGGCCAGGGAAGAGAGAGTTCAAAGTCAGGAGGCCACCACCAAGAAGGTCCTCTCCCTCGTCCCCATCCACCGTGCTTGTGACGGCGATGGGAGTGAGAAGAAGGCCTCCCCAGCGGATCTTAAAGTCCACGCTGGTGCATAGGGGGAGATGTGATCCCAAAGATAGGCAGGGCCTAAACTGTTTAGGGTTTTGTAGTTCATAACCTGCACCTTGAATTGGGACTGGCAACTTATCGGCAGCCAGTGGAGCTGCTTTAATAGAGGCATTGTGTGCTCCCTATGGTTAGCTCCAGTTAGAAGCCTGGCCAGTGTTGTTACATTTATACAGTCTTGTAGTTACAACTTGCTCTTTGAAGGCTGATATGGCCCTCAATGAAAATGAGTCTAGACACCCCCGTGCTACAGTAAAATTATTAGTTTTATTTGTTATTATTGGGGAAAATTTTACATAAGAGATTTTTTTTTCTCCCCCAACAGTTTAGAGCCCATGCATCGTTCTACTATCCACTCTTGTGTGAAATAATGCAGTTTGACCTGATTCCTGAGCTCCGGGCCGTTTTGCGAAGATTTTTTCTACGGATTGGAGTAGTTTTTCAAATATCCCAGACATCAGAACAGGAAGCGGGAACAGCCAAGCCGTAGAAGCGTGGTTGAAGAATCAAAGGACCAAGTAAACTTGCCCATAAAAAGTGTTTCTTTCTATGGCAGTGTGCATCTACGGGTTCACAGTACAGACTAAAACTGTAATTTAGGCTTGCGACACTGTAGTTCTCCAGTGGATTCCTCTGGCCCCCTCCTCCTCCTCCTGGCTTGTGCTGAGCATAGAGCCAGTTTTAACACAGTCTTATTGCCAGCTTGGACTGTGATATCCTCTTATTTTCCAAGACAGTGATATATATATATATAAATATATCTAAAGATGTTTATGATGGGAGTGAACTTAAAATGTACCCAAAGAACTAACAAGTTTTAAAAAATTAGAACTTCTACAGAAGTACAACTCAGGAGAGCTGTATTTTGAAAGAATTTGTTTGTAGTAAACAAAAATACTGCTCATGGTAAGAGATCTAACAACTATGTGGAATTCTTATTCTGGAGATGATTTTTTTTCCTTTTTGCACACTCAGGCTGTCTGAGATAATAGGTAATCATCCTTCTGTGAAAAAAAATGTACAAAGATGCAGGTCTGTAATATAAACACTATACAGTTCTTCCTGCACACTTTTTTCATATTATTTCCTAGAGACCCATTTGTTTGTTTACCAAATGCACTAGGCTGGGGTTGAGTTGTGACTATTTTGCTCTGTATCCTCAAAGTTAGTCTTGCTAACTTTGGTCAAGAGGAGAGACGGAAAGGCCACAACTCCCTTAACTGTTTGTAATATACTTGTGATAGGGCTTTTAAATATAATAAGCCATTGCAATGATCATTCAGGACGGGAACTTGAATCACTGCAAACAAGTCTAGGTTTTGTCTGCTGTCACTTTTTTTTCTTTCTTTTTTGGTTGTTTTGATGTAGATTTCACTCTATGTACAGAATTTAATGTTGAATATATTCAAGTAACAAATCTGGCATGGTTTGGGGATGGTTTTAAATTTATTGGAAATGTATTCATACTGTGAATTGTGCTCTGATGGTTGGAGAAAAAGATTTTCAAGCATTCTGTCTTACAGTGGATGTAGAAAAATTTTTCAGATGGAAAAATGTATATGGTACAGCTCTGTAAAGTTTTCTATGTAAATTCTGTACAACTTTCTGTACAATATTGGTTCTCATCTGGCATATTCTAATCAGGTTATAGGTCAATAAAGTTTTTGAATTCTTTCATTGGTGCAATCAAAACCAATACAAGGTAAAACTATTGTGTTTCAATGTTTTAACTGAGTATGCAGGAGCAAGCATTGCCAAGCACTGGGTTGCCTTAAAAACTAGAAGTAACGAGAAAATGGTAATTTTAAAGTAATAGTCATTCAGTGTATTCATTCATGTTTGAAACCTTCCGTGACAATTACTGGAATTTTATCCAATCCATCACCTTTCATGCACAAGAATGGGGGAGTGATAGGCTTTGGGTAACTAAAGTGTGCAGCTGCTCTAATCAAATCCTAAGGACAAGAAGATGCCATAAGAAGAGGCATATAAAGGAAAATAAACTCTCACATTGTCTCAGCAAAGATTGACTGTTTTCCTGAGATAGTTACAGAAGCTAAGAAAAGTCTTATTTTGTAGCTGACAGTTATGCAGGCCAACAGGATTTTAACCCATACTATCTGGTGAGAACAAAAAGTCCCATAAGATTATCCTCCGTGCACGAGCAAAAATTGGTCCTTCTGGTGTTTTGGACTTCAACTCCCACCATTCTTAATGGTCTACAAGCTATTAGGAATTGTGGGAGTTGAAGTCCAAAACACCTGGAGGTGTTTTGGACCTTTGCATCATTTCCTTTATTTTCCCATGCCTGCTGTAAGTACTACTAAGCCAATAAAAAGGTATACAAGGAGTTTCCTCGCCATGCGCTATTTCCAAAATGGAGCACTGGGTACTTCCCTTGAAGGTTCATCCTGAGTTGGTTGCTACAAGGAATCCACACAGTATGAGTTACATCCAGATCAGGCCTGCACAACCTGCAGCCCTCTGGGTGTTTTGGACTTCAGTCCCAATAATTTCTGAGAAGTTGGATAGGGCTTTTGGGAATTGGAGGTTGAAACATCTGGAGGGCCACCAGTTGTGCGGGCTTAATCCAGACAGAGACATGGAATCATGTGACTGAAAGCTTAGATGATAAACTGTCTCTTCTGGCTCCTCCTCTCAGTTTCCTCTTATGACCAAGCTAAATGGTTAAATAACCAGAGGAGAAAGCCTACAGAAGTACAAACAGAAAAGGATAAACCACAGCTAACCACATGCTTGAATAGAATTAGCTTTACAGCGTAGATAAGTCAGGTATTTCACCAGTGCAGGTTGGATTCCTCACAACCCACCCAGAATGGACCTTCACAATAAGTTGCCAATGTTCCATTCAAAACTGCTTGGAGGAATAGAAATCCACACAGGATGGGGCATACCAAAGCTTCCCAGGTAACCTTAGGGGTAGCACGACTCTTAAACCTCAACATGTGACGGTAGCAGCAGCTGAATTTAACTTGCATACTTTTAATTTTGTGTGAAAGTAACTCTGCCAGCATCCTAACAAATCTTTAGTAGAGGAGTATTTGCAGGAAAGCTTTACAGGTATAGTGTTACCTCTATCACTCGCATATTATAGTAGTTGGAGCTGTGGCCGGAAATAAAAAATGCTCATGGTGAGGAACTACAACTGTGCCAAAAACAAAGGGCATTCATTTCATTTCAGTATTTCTGCTGCACTCCCTCCCTCCCCCCCCAAAAAAAAAATTACCAAAAAGTAAAACTCAAAATGAAATAAAAACAACATATCTTGGGTAAAAGTTGATGCATTGATTCTTAAAATATATTCATCACAAAACTGCATTCAAACTGTAATAAAATAAACTTTATTAATCTTAAAACCATTATCATAAATACTTTTGGTAGCACTCACATTTAAAAAAAACACAACAAGAGGTCAGTAGTTTGACAGTTCAGAACAAATGGCTGAACACAACCTGTGGATTAAATATTAAGCTGCAAAAACTGTTTTGATTCCTATGTTGTTTCCTTAGCATCTAGTATGTTTCTCAGGAATCTAAACCCCTGTACTTACGACTATCATAGTAGCAGCTGAAGTTGGTTTGATTTTTCAGAAAGATAGATAGATATCTGAAAAGTAAACGTGTGCCATTCATTTAATAGAATATTTGTGTTATCAGTTCTGACATGATGCTTTCAGCATTAACTTGGTACAAGAGTCCAATCAGTAACATACTGAAATGTTAATTTCAAAGGAGTGAAATGTTTGTCACAATCAGCTTCCCTGCCTGTTTACTAGTCACATTTCTGCTTCAATGCATTTATAAATATATATAATTATATGTTAAAAAATCAAAGTGCAGTAGTGGGGAAATATCCTTTTGAAAGGCACAACCGGCTTCACTACAAATTTATTCAGCCATGGGCAGTTGACAGCCCCTGCCAATTGAAGGGTACATTCCTCTCAGAAGGAAGCTCAGCTTGACTTGACTGTTGCTCAGACATGAATCTTTTCAGGGTTTCCGACGTCCCAGGTCTCAGCCATGGTTCAGTTGCCACCGTGTCAACAGAGTTGGATCTTCTGACATCTTTCGATGGCAACTCCTTCAGGATATCATCAGCATTTCCCACTGAAATATTGTCATCTTAAAAAAGAGAAACTAAGTTTAGTTTCTGTGCTTCACTTCAAAGCTCACATTTGGTATGATGACATATGACACATGAAAGCTTCCAAGACTGGAGAAAAATTCTTCCATCACAGATGTGGGGCTTTGCTGTGGGGTGGAGTGAGGGTCCAATCTGCTGATCTTAGGGAATGATCTGGAGGGCAGTATGGGAATACACTCAAAGCTATGAAATGTTCTAATTATACAGGAGTTCTGAGACTGAAAAGGAAATTACTGGATCGCAGTCCATGCTTTAATATCTTCTGTCTTTCCCTTACTTATACGTTTTTAGAGTTACAATTGGTAGGAAATCTAAAGAAAAGAGGGGGGGGGGAGACCTGGGGGATTTTCACTGGGAAAATAAAGCAACAGTTATTGAAGCTAAATGAAGATACAAAGTTCTAAAATGAGAATACAGTTTGATAAGTATGACAGAAGCCATTATGAAACACATCCAAAACCTCTTGGTCTTTGTAATCTACTCTGCACTCACATAAACAGTACAACTAACAAGACCTTCCATGGATATTTAAATCTGTGGATAATAGCAAACCCCATATTTTGGCTACTTGAGCCAGAAGCATAGCATAAAACTGCATTGGAGGACTTAGAAAGTCTCACAAAACCCTCTGAGGTGGGGAAGATTTTTTTGAAGCATTGCTAAGTGTAACCACTGAAAGCAAATCCAAGGATAAGGGTTGTCAAACTAATCCTTTTGGGATGTGCAAAAGATCTGTGCGAACCACTGGGTTGGAAGGCAAAGGAGAAAACACAGTGAGTTCTCAGCCATGAATTTGGGTGTCACTTGATTCAGACTTCTGATTCTGGGAAAATCAAGGAATAGCCCACTATATGGATCGCTGCTCAGCAGCTTTCGGGGAAATGCAATACTTTCCTCACCCCCAATTCCTAATAAAGCAATTGTCAAAAAGAGACCCATTTTTATAATTGAATATCCATGTTGCAGCAATCGTGACCATTTTAATATTTTACCACAGCACATGGTCAGAAAACCCCCACTACATCTTAGTTTGATGTATAGTAAATGCAAAAAATGGGGCACAACATTCTGACAAAAATCAAAAGAAGAATCTAGCATTATAGATTAAATTATGAGGTTCCCCCCTCTAGTTGCTTATGTTTCTGGTTTGAGTCAAACTGCTATTCCCTTGACAGAAAGGTAGTATAATTCATTTTGTCAGTCACTGCACACACTGGATTTTTTCCCTGACCACAGAATGAGCAAAAGTCTTCCCCTGCAACACACCTTGTAAGCAGAGCAACCATTTCTGGATTGCTGGACAGCAAGATCATATCCATTTGTTTTCCTTTAGCTCAGTGGTTCCCAACCTGTGGTCCATGGACTACCAGTGCTCCCCAAGAACAAAAATATGGTCCACGGCCTCACCATTACTACACCGTTGCCTCGAAACCACGTGGCAACAAGCACAACTGGTCTCACGAAACTCTCTTATAGTGCCAAGGCACAGGGATGTCGGGAAGGGAGAGGCTGACGACCCATGAAAGATTTCTACTCCACATCAGCTCTAGATTATTAAATATGGTTTTCTGTGGGCGAGCAGACGGTGACTACTGGATGGCATATGTTCTGTATCAGAAAATAGAGCTGATGTGGTCTATCTAATGCAATCTTCTGAATCAGCACCCCAAATAGCCAAACCAAATCTAAAGCTGACAAAAAAACTGATTCATAATCCTTTTGGTACTAATCTTGGGAGAGTGGTCCCTGATCAAGTGGTCCCTGGTCAAAAAAAAAAAGGTTGGGGACTACTGCTTTAGCTGGATGTACTGCAATGACCCCAGGAACCCTGGATGCCTTGTTAGTGCTCTCCTCTTGCTGAGAATATATGGTTGTATGTGGCCAGGGTTGTGCAAGAGACATAGCAATATGAGATATATACATCCCCTGATGAAGCATCTCAACCATAACCTTAATGCAAACTGCTATAAAGATTATTCTTGAAACTGCAGCTGCAGAAATTGGCTTTATCATGCCTTAAATTTCAAAATTGCCATATTCCGTACAGAAAACCACATATAGCTATAGATACTCCACCCTACAGATGGATATTAATGTGTTAATTCATTTTATACCTCATCTTTCTCCAAGGCCATTATTTGGGCAAAGCTTACTTGCAAACTAAATCAACTTTTGCAGAGACTTGCACATGGGGCAGTATAAAGGAAAAGGCACTGGAGTTGCATACAGCCAGAAGTATGTTTTTGAATATATCCTACTGTATAGCTTGGACAGAATATGGGGATGATGGGGGAAATATAGTGGATAGATCGCAGCACACAGAAGAGAGGCAGTGCTCTACCAACAGGTTTTTAGTACAACCAACAAAGCTGATCCATGCATGAAAACTACTTGAAGCATTGACAGATGCCCAACTGGAATCTTCAGATAACTATCAATTTAATTAAAATATATATTAAAAACAAATTTTGTCAGTTACTCACCCTGACTATCACCTCCTTTCTATAAAGAAAATTTCAAAAATGAGTCCAGACTTTGGTGATGCAAAATGCTAACCTATCAAGAAAAAATATAGGATATTTGGGGGATTTTTTGTTAGTTTCTAAATGGCACCGTTCTTCATACTTATTCTAGAAGTCCTACCCAGTTCATTTTAAACTATGAAAGTAAATGTACATTTTATAGGTATGAATGATTTTAATGTGTTTTAATCTTAAGTCTATGTTTTAATATATGCATTTTAATGGCTTTATGCTTTTTTATCTATGTATTGTAATTATACTGGACCTCAACTCAAACCTTGCGGAGAGGGACATAGCAAATATTTTTGTTGTTGTTACTAGAGGGAATCTTTACCAAATTTGTAAATGGCACACTATCTGGAGACTGCAGTCAGTGATAAGCTGAGGTACAATCAGAAGCTTCAAAAGCAGCAATAACAACATTTGAGGGAATTTTATATAATTCTGCTTTGTTTTCCAAGAAGTGAAACATTTCATTTTGGATTTAGCATGAAGGCAAGAGGATCAATCCATTATCCCTGTGTGCCAATTCAACTAGTCAGAAGCCTAGATTCTTTATCAGTTACTAGCATTAGGACTTCAACAGTTAAATTACCTAGCCCTGCTGCACTCTAAATTTGTGAAACGTCTACACATTTCCATTATATTCCTTCCTGTACATTATTATTTCATTGTCTTTCTTAATATATATTCTGCAAGGACATAGGGTGTGTGTGTGTATATACACATACATACATACATACACACATATGTATACACACACCAAATTTTCTTGCAAAATATTTGCCACCGCATAATAGTCGCACACCCATTTTTGGGGTCTCAAAATTGTTTTTTTTTTCTTTGGATTCCTGACATAATTGTGGCAGTGATATAAAACTGAGAAACTCCCTTCTCTCCCAAAGACAGTTTAGACCAGTGGTTCTCAATCTGTGGTAAACTAGTTGGGATTTCCGGGAGTTGTAGGCAAAACGCCTGGGGACCCACAGGTTGAGAACTACTGGTTTAGACGAACATCGAGCTCCACTCTGCTTCGTTCTCCCTCAAAGAAAGTTTGAACATAGAGCTTTCTCTCCCTCATCATCTCAGGGGCAAGACAGGTATTAAAATAAAACACTTAGAATCCAGGAAATAGAAGACACCATTTTTTTTTTCACTGCATTATAGTCGCACCCCTCTTTTTTTCAACAAAAAAGGGAGGACTAGTGTAACAAATATGCAATGAAGTACAGTGTATGTATACATACCTACACACTGTATTTAATGGATTATAAGACACACTTTTTTTCCGAAATGGAGGTTAAAAAAAAAGGGTACATATAAGAATTATTAACATCCTAGATTCACAGAGGTTTATTTTAAGATCATGAGTAACAGCAGCAGCAGCTGAGAGAGAAGGAGAGCATGGAGCAAGAGGCAACCATCAAGAGCAAAGGCGGCGGCAGCAAAGAAGAGAGGAGATGGGGAAAAGCTGCACGTGCAAGGAGTGTTAGGTGGCAGCTCTCCATTGCCACTTGTTCACACTTCTGGACCCACAAGGAACAGTAGAGGAAATTGGGCATGTTTAATTGGAGGAAAAATGAGGCAACACAAAATTACTCTTTTCAAATATCTGAAGGGCTATTATATATATCTAGTCATGCTTCAAAATACCTGAAAGTCTCTTAAGTTACAGCCGATTTTCTAATGAACACCTGGACAAAAATTCATAGCCATAAAGGCAATTTGACAGCCACTGAGATAGTGGACTCTCCTGCTGAAGGCCTTTGATGCAAAGTGTGAACAGATGTCACCTGGAGATAAACTCCTGAATTTTCTTCATCAAACACAGGGTTGGACTAGAGGATCTATAATATCCTCTCCATTATTATGAATCTGAGCATGATGTATTCCATCTGCAACATACATATCATAAAGTTGAGAGGACACATGAGACTTTTTACAGTGTAAGCACAGTTAGTGGCCACTGTAAAGTGAAAATGCCATGAAAGGCCACAGATGATTACCTGAACCTTTTCTAAACCCTCCCCAGTCTATCAACATGATGGTTAAAAGAACATTTGTTTGGCAGCATGGAACAAGCCTCCACCAGAAATGGAATCAGTCCTTACTCGGCGGCAACAGTAAATTCTCAATTATCTGGAAATTATTATCCCAAAGGCGTTTTTGTTACATTGCAGAACCACACTAAGCAATTAAAACAGGTTCCTCCATTTAAATAGTGGTTGCGCATTTTGATCTTATAAAATGCATTCTTCTGCCTTGTGCTCAACTTTGCATACTAAGAAAGTGTGCTAAACACAGTTTGGTCAACAGTCTCCATTTTAACATTCAGCAAATGAACAGTACCTATATGACTGGCTTTCTTCCGCAGCTCATTTAATCTTTGCAGCCGTTCTTCATTTCTGGCTTTCAGCTGATCTATATTGAGACTAGAATTTGAATGTAGAGAGCTGCTGTCAGATTGTGCGGGCGGAGTCACCCTAAAAGGGGCATCATCCTAAAGATTTAAAGATTCACAAGAAATTGAATGATTATGCTATATTTCTGTCTTTCTTCTGATGAAATACTGAAATAAGTGTACAAAAATAAATCTGTACATATTGTCATCTTTGAAAACACTAAAATATGCATGAAGAGTTGTTGTTGCTGTTGTTATTATCTTTAGTTATATCCCACTTTTTCTCCCTAAAAAAGGGGACCTGGACACAGAATATTATTTAAGAAAAACAGAAACGCTGAATCACTCTGACAACCATGTCAGAGTACACAGAGAAGCCACTGAAATCCACAAGCATGTGGACAATTTCAACAGAAAGGAGGAAACAATGAAAAAGAACAAAATTTGGCTACCAGTATTAAAAAACACCAGAATCAAGACAGCAAATAAAGAACAACACTCAGAAACAGGGGAATTCCAGACCGCCAACAATCAAGTGCCAGTTAACAAAGCCCAAACAAAAGATGTCCCAGATGCCTGCCATAGATGCAGGCAAAACTTCAAGAAAGACTGCTACTGGAACATGGCCATACAGCCTGAACCCAATAAGTATGTCCCTTTGAGAAAAATGTACGGAAACACCACTAATTTCAATGAAACCAAGGACAGCTCCTACCTTTTTCTTCTCTCGCCTTCTTTCTCTTGCAGAAAGAGGTGGCAGAGGAGTTGTGTGTATTTCTAAAGGAGGAAAAGTCTCACCATCAGCACCTAAGAAAATGCAGATCAAGGAAGTAAGCACATATTTGGAATTTTAGAAAAAGGTTTTAGGAAAACAAGTGTAAAACACAGCTTCACATTTGTTGAATGTACACATATGAAGAACCCATTTACATAGCCTAAATCATAAAACTTGGAAAAAATACTTTTTTAGAATTGGCAGTAGTGACATGCTACAAGATGAGTAGGCCTTGATACCAGTGTATCTAATGCAAAAGTATAAACTGAACAATTGTGACTGAGAAGGATATACTTACCAATAAAAGCACTTTCAGACTCCAAGAGTGAGTTTTTCAGAAATTCATTTGACTCATTGTCCGTAACCTACCAGATAAAAGCAGAAGAAAGCACACTTCAGGTGAAAACCGACTACTAAAGTGGAAAAGACTAATTAAATGAATATATGTTGTAAATGTTGCAAAACTGTTTTAAAATTAATTTACATTTTTTTTCTAATTGAAGACGATCCTTCAATTTAGGAGCAGTCATCACAGAAAAGAACAGTGTTCCAGTCTTTTCAGAACAACATCACTTGAAAACAGATCAGAAGAAAAGGATCTGTTTTATGCATTAATGATGTATGCATTAATATATACATAAAGGTAGCATTTTCCATTATGCAATGAAAATAAAGATATCAATTATATTTCTGCTTACCCTATGCCTTGATTTATAGCCAGACTCAGGCTCATCAAAATCTAGGACAGCTATTAAAGCAAGTAAAAAGAAGAAGAAGTGACAAGAACAAAAAAGGTAATTATAAATGGTCAAAAATACTCTCTTAAATTCAAGTTCTGCAACAGCTCTTATTCTCATTAAAGAAATATAGAAATTCTTAATACAGCTGCAATCACATTTAAATAAGTATAGATTTGTGGCCTTTCCACACAGCCCTATGATTCAGAATATCAAGGCAGAAAATCCCACAACATTTGCTTTGAACTGAAATATATGGCAGTGTGGACTCGGAAAACCTAGTTCAAAGCAGATGTTCCTGCCTTGATATTCTGGGTTATATGGCTGTGTGGAAGGGCCCTTTAAAATGGGGAGGCCTCAAAAACAGCAGCAGAACAGACTACTAGATACTGCACTATATCAAATATTTATTCACAAAGTTACAGAAATAAAAATAAATGGAAGATTCAATGATATGCATTGGCCTCTGCTCCGCTTTGCCTGTTTTCTGTGTCTCTGTGTCAATATCTGGCATTGTTTTTCTGGATCTTGTGAGTTCCAGATAATTGACACAGAAACATAGAAAAGCCATATATAAACCATTGAGATACAGTTCATCTATGCTGAATTATGAAAAAACCAAGCAGTTTGATTTCAGGACCACTACTCTGCAGCAGTATCATTGGCACAAAAAGCCAAAAACAACTTGAGACACAAGTAACAAGAAAAGCAGCAAGCCATGACTTATGTTATATCCTCTTTAGAACCTTTATCTCCTTTTAAAAAACAAAAAACCTTTGCATAACCAGTTTTTAAAAGGTCATGCATTACCTTCTGCGTTCCTCCTCATTTTTCTCAGTTTCTTTTTCTGCTCTCTGAGCAATGCCTGCTGCTGAATGTCCAGGGAATCGTCACTAGTAGGAGGGTCAGGATACATGTATCTAGTTTCCACCCGTGAGTCTGAATCTGTTGCATAAATTATGGCGGTCAGAAATCTCAGAACATTTGTTTTCAAATATTTTCCAGCTGCATATATGCAGAACTTGTGTTAGATCCACTTGAAAATATCTCCGCCTAAGAGATGTTTAATCCTGAACTCAAGAATTCAAATATGCTGTGTATGAACCTCTTTCTCACAATGATTTTATGCACTGACTATTTGAGAAGATTTGAATACAGGCCAAAATCCAAAAGGGAACAATTTGTTGATGGAATTCCTTCTGGCAGTAGAAATGACCGGAATCCCTGCATGTTCTTACTGGACATTCGTTGTACAAAAGAAATCCATTCCAGATTACTGGAAACAATCTTCAGAATCAGTTTAGGGAAAGTAAGTACAACAAAACCAGCACAAAGCTGAACTGAGGCCTAAATTATGAGCTAACAGGTTCTGCAGATTTTCAAATGTAAAACCAAGGACGTTTCTAGCTTCTTCCTAAAATAAGAGACAGAATTACGTTAAAGAGTAGGTACACAAATGCCAATTTGTAGCTTTGAATACAGAGGTAACTTTTCATATTATGTAATTATATTTATATGTGATACAATTGTATATGAAATAAATTATCTTTCTAATTTTCTCTCCATTTTTCCTTTTAGCACATTCAGCGTTTCTATCCTCCTTGTTATATAATGCATATCTGATATAAATGCTGACCAAACATGCTAAAATTTACTTATTTACTTATTTATTTGTTTACAACATTTATATCCTGCCCTTCTCACCCTGAAGGGGACTCAGGGCAGCTTACATGAGTGGCATTATTCCACGTCCAAACAACGAGAACAACTAAAAGCAATTTAAAACAACATTAAAACAAATTATGTAAACATTAGATGACTATTGTGCATAGATCGAAAGCCAGATAATCAGATAATAATATTTATCAATCCAAAGCTAATTCCAACTGTATTGCATGGATAATTATACTGGGCCAAATGCTTGCTCCCAAAGCCAAGTTTCCACTTGTTTGCAAAATGACAGGAGGGAAGGGACTGATCTAATCCCACTAGGGAGGGAGTTCCACAGCTCAGGGGCCACCATTGATAAATCCCTGTCTCTTGTCCCCACCAAATATGCCTGCGAAGGTCATGGGACTGAGAGCAAGGCCTCTGCAGAAGATCTTAACCTCTGTGATGGTTCATAGAGGGAGATGCATTTGAACAGGTAAGTTGGGCCGAGGTCATTCAGGGCTTTATAAACCAAAGCAAGCACTTTGAATTGTGCTTGGAAGCAGACTGGCAGCCAGTGAAGATGGGTTGTGTGCTCCCTGTACGCTGCTCTGGTGAATAGTCTGGCCGCTGTCTGTTGGACCTATTGGAGCTTCCGAACAGTCTTCAAAGGCAACCCCACGTAAAGCGTGTTGCAGTAGTCTATTCGAGATGTAACCAGAGCGTGGACTACCATACTGTAATGGAAACTTGAATTTTGAAGGTTTTGCCAGTTTGAACAGAACTAAAAAGTCTCAGTAAAAGAGGGAATTGTGCTCGGTGGCAACCCGGCAGCCAGTGGAGTTGGCGTAACAGAGGGCATGTGTGCTCCCCTTTAGTTCCTCCAACAGATCTCTACAGCCAGTTTACTTGCACAAACATGAGCTATGACGCATTACTATATTTTTCCACTTCTTTTCTTCTGGGCACACAGTACATACAGGATTACAGCATTTTACAGAATGAAGGACATGCTATACTGTCATCAATCTACCCTTCTTTCATTAAAGTTATGAATTTTAAAATCACATTCTATGTTTACTGCATTTTGTGTATGTTTTAACATACACTTTTATTGATGCATATTAACTATGTTGCACCTCACCTTGAGCTGTAAAAAGAGGAGGGCAATAAAAAATATCGTCATCATCACCTCTTTCCTTAAAACTAAGGAAGTGATTGAGGGTTCTTTTGCATCGCCTCACTGGTTAAAAGAAACAACTAACCTTTGTATTTAAGTTCATTAAATTCACGGATATTTTGTACATTGACAGGATCAGCAATATCCTTCGATAACGGTCGTCTGACTGGAGCTTGCATACGAAGTCTGGCCATCTCAAACACATCCAAGTAATGTTTATCTTTCCTCCTGTTAAAAATGACCATCAGAATGCTTTAAAAATACACCTAAGTTGTAGAAATATGTAGGCTCATTTATAAACAAAAAGCAAATTTAAAAACTAGTAAGCCATTTCATTCAAACTTGATTTTTTTTCATTTTAATGCGCAAGTTACTTCTCATCTTGCATGAATATTAGGAAGCCAAATATAAAATAAACATAGAACCTGAATTCACTAAGTTCACTAGCTAAAAACATTTCAGATAATTATCACAGGGTTACAGAGAAGTAATGTATCTATAACAACACTTTGGACAGAGGAGGCATTTTTCATATTAATTTATTAACTGGCTGGCTCAGCCTTTAATCAAAATGGGAGACTGAAGTCAAATGATCAGAAAACAAAGAAAATGTTTTTATTTATCTAATATGTCAAGTAGAGCCCCCTGATGGCACAGCAGGATAAACTGCTGAGCTGCTGAACTTGCTGACCGAAAGGTTGGTGGTTGAAATCCGGGGAGCGGGGTGAGCTCCTGCTGTTAGTCCCAGCTTCTGCCAACCTAGCAGTATGCAAACATGCAAATGTGAGTAGATCAACAGGTACCACCTTGGCGGGAAGGTAACAGCGCTCCATGCAGTCATGCTGGCTACATGACCTTGGAGGTGTCTACGGACAACGCAGGCTCTCTGGCTTACAAATGGAGATGAGCACCACCCCCAGAGTCGGACACAACTAGACTTAATGTCAGGGGAAACCTTTACCTTTACTATGTCAAGTGGGGTGGAGGGCAATGTTTGCATATAGATGTAAAGAGAGTCACAAGGGTAAAAAGCATGAGAATTACTGAGCTGAATGATCAATGTGGTCAGGCAGGAATTGCTTGTTATGAAGTTTGAAAAAATGTGGCAAAGCTCTAGCGAAGGTATGAGCAAACTTCGGCCCTCCGGGTATTTTGGACTTCAACTCCGACAATTCCTAACAGCCTATCGGCCTATCGAGCCTGCACAACTTACAGCCCTCCAGGTGTTTTGGACTTCAGCTCCCAGAATTTCTGACCACTGGACAAGTTGGCTAGAGCTTCTGTGAACTGGAGTCTCAAACAGCTGGAGGGCCTCAGGTTGTACAGGCCTGGCTAGACGTTTTCTTTCAAACAAAGTTGAGGGACAGAACTTTATGCCTAATTCTGTGCTTTGGTGTGCCTGCTCAATGGAGTATAGCATCAGATCAAGGAACTCTTAAAAACTGTAGGGAGATGAAAGAATATTACACCCTTTTGCCATAAATATCTCAAATATTAACATCCTAAGTATTATCCAATTGCATATTAGCTTAAGAGTAATATTTCTTGCTTTACGTATTTATTATTGACTTTATTTCTACCCTGCCTTTCTCCCCACAGGGACTCAAGTCAACACACAATTATATGATATAGCTCAATAAGTTTTAAAATGGCAAATACATACATACATATATATGTGTGTGTGTGTGTGTGTCACGGATGTAAATTAAAATATAGTTAAGATACAATAAAATACTAGTACAATAGAAATTTCATTTAAAACTAAATATGATGCACCCCTCCTTGAATAAGTGCCTTAGCTCTTAGACCCTTACCCTTTCACAGACAGGTCATCATCATCATCGCTATGTACTTTCAATAATTGTTCCTGCAGCCGCCGCTCTTCACTGCGGAGTTGCTTCCTCATCTCTGACAGCTCAGTTATTACAGTCTTCCTTTCTTCTGCAATTCAGTATACAAAGAATTTGTTACTAAATACCACTGTCTGCTTTCTCCTGAGAACTATCAGGGCAATCAAGATCTTTCTGGCCAGGAACAGAGCCAAAGAAGTGAGGAAAGCCATAAATGTTTCTTACCATAGGCACGCAGCTGATTTCTTCTAGCTGGCACAGGAGGAGACTGAACTCTTGGAATGTCCTAGTAAAACATTAAAACCTTTAGTTGCCTAAGGGAGGGAAACATCTATGTTCCTCTCACTTACTTTTACACCACAGAAGGGAATTAATCATTTCTTCTCACTGTTCCCCTTGCAACTGAGCATGGAAATTAGAATCAGGAAAAAAATCTTCTATTGGCACCATTTTTATAAAATAAATGAATGTAAAACAATTTAATTACAACATATGTAGTTAGTTAGGTCCTGAGAATCACAAAATAAGTGCTCTTTGCTCAGGAAATGGTTAGACCTGATTTCTACAAAACAGCAGTTGATTCCAATACCAAAGAGGATTTCTGCTCCTGAAACCAAGGGGTTTTAGAAACAGAAGTGGATATGGAATTGTATTTTAGGCCAGCTAGTTATTTTGCTAAAAGTTCATAGCATGGTCTAGCTTCCTCCACAATGTCTAGCTTCCTCCACAATGGACATAGGCTTTCAGTTTCTAGTCTCAGGAACAGATATTTGAAAATATAATAACAGATGGAATTACTGCACTGCCTGCATAATGGAAAAATCCAAAGAATATGGTGAAAATCTTCAAGTCTTTGGACCAAGACTTTGGACTGTAACCAATTGATATTTGGAATATATATAACCTGATTTGGAACGGCCTTGGACCATGGTTTTTGGATTATGTGATTTTAATGTTTATATTAATATGCTTTTAACTCTATGTTTTAATGTTTAAATGTTGTTACATTTTTATGATCTAATCCAGGGGTCCTCAGACTTTTTAAACGGAGGGCCAGGTCACAGTCCCTCAGACTGTTGGAGGCCCAAATTATAATTTGAAAAAAGCATGAATGAATTCCTATGCACACTGCACATATATTCTTTGTAGTGCAAAAAACACTTTAAAACAATACAATAATTAAAATGAAGAACAATTTTAACAAATATAAACTTATTACTATTTCAATGGGAAGTGTGGACCTGCTTTTGGCTGAGGGCCGAGTAAATGACCTTGGAGGGCCATATCCGGCCCCCAGGCCTTAGTTTGAGGACCCCTGCTCTAATCAATAGTTATATGTTACTGTTGTTTATGTTAGGTTTCATATGTATGTGAGGCATTAAATTTGGCCATAAATACATCGGAAACTGCTTTGAGTGTCATCCCCACCCGCCACCAACACCCCACCGCAGGGTGAGAAAAGCGGTATACAAGTGAAGTAAATAAATAAAATACATAAATTCAAGAAGACCTTGTAGCTCCTTGTATACCATTTTTAAAAAGTTAAGTTCAATCTGTAATTATATTCTGAACAAACTGTTGTTTTAATAATTAAACATGATAACTGCATCCCAAACAAGTTACTGGTATATACATATAATGTATTCTATGTTCCTAAAATGACAAAGTGATTTTCAATCTGTAAAATATTTCATTTTTCTTTTCTTTTTTAAAAAAATGTCTTCAAAATTTCTGAGGATTTCACATTTATAGGAATGTAAACTAAGCATATGAATTACTATTGAGAAGAGCAGAAAAGATATCATGAATGCTATCAAAGAACTGGCAAGAATGTGTGTGTATTGGTATCTACCTCCTTAAAAAGCTGAAACCATAACAGAATATATAACCTGATTTAGAACAAGAAATACAGTATCAGGTATCTATTTTATCAGTAATGATAAAACATACATGTGTATAATAAGAAGTTTGACTCTCCACCAAACGTGGCCTTTCTTCTTTCACTAATGGTTTGTTCTGAAGAGATGGAATAAGAGGAGAAGGCTGCCTAGAAACCTGAAAGGCAAGGAAGAAAGCAAGTACAGATCTGACACTTTAAAACAATAATTGAGCAAAAAATAAAACACAAAGAAAGCTTTTTTTAAAGGAAAATTTTACTTGAGATAGTATAGATGAATATATAACTCTATGCAACACAATTTTTCTTCCTGGGTTATAAATGTCATTTCCTAATTGGTCCAATCATAAAAACATGGAAAAAGCTATCCAAACCAATCTCCCACTATATAGGAATATACAATTGGAGCACTCTTAGCACATGGTCATCCAGCCTCTGTTTAAGAGGGAACCCCCACTACATTATGAAGCAGCATAATCCACTGTCTTGCAGCTCTTATCATCAATATAGTAATCACAAGTTTAGGTTCAAATGCCCTTTCATCCAATGCTGGGACCCAAAGCTCCTGCTGCCAGTTTCTGGGAGGGACCGCAGACTACAGAGCAGGTTACAGCAGAGTAATGCATTTGAATCTAAACCTGTGATTACTATAACTGTGATTACTATAATAAACATTCTGGTTGCCTCAGTTGATTATTTTTATATCAAATCCGAAAGGTCAGAATTTAAGGTATTTTTAAAGGAATTACCTTATCTTCTTCAGTTACTATATGCCTCTCGATTTCATTATTCTGTTTATGTTGTTTTCCTTCTTCTTCTAACTTTTTTTTCTCTGCCTCTTTTCTCCTTTCTTCAGCTAAGTTATACAATTCTTCATTTTTCAATCTTTGCTACAAAGATAATGATGCAAAGATGAAAAACAATGAACAAACACAACTCAACCAGGACCAAGAATATGGATTTCATAATTGGCTGAAACTTTTGTTAGTTACATAATTGCTTCTTCAAAGTGGTTCCTCACTCTGCAGGGCATGAGAAAACATCCATGGATAAATAACAACTACTACTACTTTGGGTTGTTGTGTGTATGGCCATGTTCCAGAAGCATTCTCTCCTGATGTTTCGCCTGCATCTATGGCAGGCATCCTCAGAGGTTGTGAGGCAGGCATTCTCAGAGGTTGTCAGACCTCACAACCTCTGAGGATACCTGCCACAGATGCAGTGAAATGTCAGGAGAGAATGCTTCTAGAACATGGCCATACAGCCCAGAAAACACACAACAACCCAGTGATTCCAGCCATGAAAGCCTTTGGCAATACAATAACTTTATGCTTGTATCCCACCACCATCTACCTGAAGGGATTCAGGGGGGCTTACACACGACACAAAGTGCCAGAAACGGAAGATAAAACACAATTTAAAATATAGTTGAATAAAACATATAGGCATATTAAAAAACAACTTAAAATTCAATTAAAACAGGGCTAAAGGTGAAAGATAGAACACCAATATAATTAGAAATGTGTTTCATCTAAAATCACAAAGTTTAAACTTTAGACAGTACAAATGAGGACTGAGCTACAGATTCCTTTTATCTATTTATGAGAAAGTAAAGCTAAGGTGGTGAATGACAAATAAATACAATTCAATTCCTTGTTAGATAAAGAGTACCTAAGAATAAAGTTAGTACCTTGTGCAGAATTAATAAAAATGCATTGTCATTCGTTTTCTAGGTCAGCTTTCAGACATACTTTCTTGAATACATTTTTTAATGAGAAGTCCTAAAAACTTTTTTTAAATGCAGGGCATCCACCAAATATACAGAAGTTGGATATCATACCTCTTCTTCTTTCCTTCTCTTCCTTTCCAGTTCTTCTTCATATTCTTTTTCTATTCTCGCCCTCTGCTCAGCCAGCCTTTTTTCTTCCTTTTCTTCTTCTAGTCTTCGTTTTTCACGTTCTTCTTCTTCCCTCTTTCTTTTCTCCTCAATCTAGAAAGAAAACACCTTTATTCTTTATTCTGCTGAGCAACTATAAAACTATTCAGGCTTTATACCTACACAATTCTCTAAATGTATTCCTTATTGAGTTGTTCTGCCATTATCAGTCCATCAGAACTCTGTGATTTGGGGTGGGGGGGTTGTGAGTTTTAAATATAATTTTATTGTATTCATTATATTTTTATTTTATTTTATTTGAGATCCACACACTGCTATTTAATTGTTTTAATTTGTGATTAGATTGTGTGGTTTTTAGCCACCTTGAGTCCATACAGGGAGAAAGGTGAGGATATAAATAAAGTTAATGATAATAATAATAATAATAATAATAATAATAATAATAATAATAAAAAATTATAACAGCTAAACAACAGAGAGGAAAAAACCAGGCACAGATTAACACCTCCCAGCAACAGATTTTCCCAGGCTCAGGCAGGCCTTCAAATGCTAATGAAGGTGATCAGCTAAACATTCACACCTAACTGCAGCAGGGAAGAGCTCCTTGCCCCACCCCAGCCATTCCACAGATATATAAACCCATTTTTCCTAGTTCCAACAGACCTCACTACCTCTGAGGATGCTTGCCATAGATGCAGGCGAAACGTCAGGAGAAATGCCTCTAGAACATGGCTCTATAGCCCGAAAAAACCCACAAGAACCTAGTGATTCCAGCCATGAAAGCCTTCGACAATAATAATAATAATAATAATAATAATAATAATAATAATAATCAGAATAATGTTTTCTTTCAGAGATTTTTTAGATCACCATCTTGCAGATAAGCATACAAATAAGTCAGAACAACTGGATACTAAAAGACGAAAAAGTAATCAGATCATTCTATTCTGAAGCAAATGTCCACAAGGAAAGCATCATTTCACAACTTTTTTTTTATCCTGGCAGTACACTTGACACTATTTTCGGTTTTCAAGGACTTCCTACATTAAGCTTTTATATCTACAACTAAAAACATGGGTTTTTTTTCGCTTCTGATCTCCTTTGAAACAGCCTCTCATGGAATCTTATGGTTATAGGGAGCCCTGGCTGAGAGATCCTGTGCCAGACAATACATTTTCCCATTTGCCAAAGGGAAAATTGATTTTAATACAGTTAAATGCAGTTTGTACAGCATGGCATTCATTTATGTTTCATATACAATTTATACACATAACTTGAAGGTTTATACACAAAATGTTTACTAAGTCTGTGCATGAAACAAAGTTTGTGTACAATGCACTATCAGAAAGGAAACATATACAATTTTGAATTATTTGAGATAAGGGATACTAAATTAACTAATTTATGAGGCCATAAAAAAAGACTGCAGCAAAGCACTCCAGCAAAAGCATGCGGGGAATGCAAAAGTACTTCATCAGTGTCGCAGATGGACGATGAAAGCGACAGCTCCCCTGGCGGCCAGAAAAAGTTAAATAGCCTCTGTCTATGTCTGTATATGTTGTATGTCAAAATTGGCATTGAGTGTTTGCCATATATGTGTACACTGTAATCCGCCCTGAGTCCCCTGCGGGGTGAGAAGGGCGGAATATAAAAGCTGTAAATAAATAAATAAATAAATACTCAATCTATAATTAGAAAGATTTGCTATATTTATTGAATAATATACTTCTGCATTGTGAAGGCACTGCATGCGGCCTCTTGCATATGGGTTGTGTTGCTTGTACATAGATTTTGGAGTAAAGGTTTGCAATTAGTTCATGGGAGGGTTGGGTGGAGACTGAAACTCTAGTACCTTGCCCCAATATGTTTTTGTATCACTAACCCACAAGCTACATTAGCCTAATTATTCTCCAGCAGTGATTAATTTTTATTAACTGGTTATAGTTTCCCCTTCAGTGTTTTTTATTTTTTTTAAAAAAAAAAAATCTCTTCTTCAGTACCCAAAATAGATTTCCAGTCACTTCTGCTTTTATTTTTACAATTTTTACAATATTTTTGGCAATTCCTGAGACACTTGGAGGATATGAGAGCAGTCAATAGCCTTCCTAATCTGACACTGCCCACCCTATTATATAGGACATTTAAAGAAAATGTATGTTCCGGTTCAACTATTAGAAACAATAAACAGGATTGCTTTTCAAAAGTCTTAAAAGATATATTAACACAAGTTTGCTAGATTAGAAAAACTGTTTGCTTTGTTTACTATTGGTACATAAACTCACCTGAAAACGAAGGAAGTTCTTGTAGGATTCTTGCCGCCTAATTTGTTCTGGGGTTGGAGCCTCACCAAATATATTGCCACGGGCAAACTGGGGTGTTTGTGCATATGTAAAACCTAGTTATTTAAAAATCAGATTGCAAGCATGAGTATATCTATTTCTTGCATAATTGTTTCAATTCTTATTTACATCTGGTGTACTTTTAGTTGGACTTTTTGATTTAACTACAATTGCAGTACTCACAACTGATAGAACCAAAAACAGCACTCACAGCATACTGAACTTTAGCAAAGACTTGTCCTGCATTTGAAAGTGCCCCCAAATACTTTAAAGATTCACAGGAACAAGTGCAACCAACAATGCCACTTCTTTGGCTGATTGCAATGTTTAAATATTCCCTTATTTGTAAATTTAAAAAACAATTCAAGTCTAAAATCAAAAATGCTAGAATGAATAAAAAGATCGACATCTAACTTTTCCTTGTTATTATTTTTCAAGTGCTAAAAGACCTTAAAACCATTCTAATTAGCTTGGATTAAAAAAAACTAAAGACAAATTCAATGTTTAGCTGGGACTTTCTTTTCTTTAAAAATATGCCTCTTTTCTGTAAAAAAAATTAATGCATTTAAGAATATTAAAATCATACCAAACTCCATACTTGTGAATGCTAATGCATAGCCCTGTATACAACTGAATTGTGATTGACTATTTTAGTATGAACCAGTCATAGGGTAGCATTCTGCTCACACAACATGGGGATGTGTGCAAATGAAGAAACTCCTTCAGTTTTCTGGATTAATCCTACAGATAATATTATATAATAACATTTTTAAAATCATCAAAATCATCATCAGGAATATTATGTACACATTCTCACTTATATTAGTATGGCAAACCCGAACAATCACATCTCTAAAGAAAACTCTTTCTTTATACCTTTACGCTCGAGTATAAGCCGCTCTGAGTATAAGCCGAGGCATCTAATTTTACCATAAAAAACTGGAAAAACTTATTGACTCGAGTATAAGCCGGGGATGGGAAATGCAGCAGCTACCGGTAAATTTCAAAATAAAAATAGATACCAATAAAATTATATTAACTGAGGCAGCAATAGGTTAAATGTTTACATAAAACTGTAATGTAAGATAAGACTGTCCAACTCTGATTAAACCATTATTCTAACCTTCTTCGATGTAAATGTTCTTACATATCCTTCCAATAATAATAAAGAGAGTAAAATGATAAATGTAATAATAATAGAGTAAAATAATGAAAATGTAATAACAGTAATAATAAAGTAAAATAATAAATGTAATAATAACAATAATAAAGCAAAATAATAAATGACACTAATAAATAGAGTAAATTAATAAATGTAATAATTATAATAAAGAGTAAATTAATAAATGTAATAATTATAATAGAGAAAAATAATATGTAAAATGTAATAAAAATATTAATAATAGAGTAAAAATGTAAATGTAGTAATAATGACAATAAATAGACAAAAATAATAAATGCACTAAAATAGTAAGAGTCAAATAATAAATAACTTTGACTCGAGTATAATCCGAAGGGGGCTTTTTCAGCCTAAAAAAGGGCTGGAAAACTCGGCTTATACTCGAGTATACACGGTATATCAGTATGCTTGTAACTTCCCTACTGCAACATAAGGCTAAACATTCTACTTTTTAACATAAATTAGAATAAAGGCTCTGCTTCAGAGCTATCCCTCAGGAAAGAGGAGGAGCATTATTGGTAGCTTGTGAATTTAATACCAGTGGACTGATAAATCCATTCTGGGTTTTATTATTTATCCTGAATTAGCATTTTCAGATGCTTAATATATTGGGCTTGGTGATGGGTATAAGATTCAGCACATTGGATAGCTTCTTAAAAGTTCCTATTAAAACCTGGGGTAGATTTATTATCCCTTTTTATATGGAATACACAAGCCAATACTGACACTTGCTGGTAGTTTTACAAATGTTCAAGTGGCTATAATACTATTATTTTCTACTGAGTGAGAATATTCTGCAAATATATGCGAGGCAATGCCTTGGACATGCATAGACTACTTTACAGTGGAGAAGAGGAAGGATACAAAATGTTATTCAAGCAATAGTATATTGTCTAAGTCTACCAACTACATCAACTTTTTCAAAAACAGAGAAGGAGGAAAAATATAGGACTGTTTTCAGTGGAAAATCCAGCATAGCAAGAATGCACAATAATGTTGACAAGTGACACAACACACATTTAGAACTGAACATATGGTATTGTTTAAACCTGCTATTTTATTTGTAGATTCATCTGTATTTTCAAGTCTTGGGGAGGCCAGACTTAGGTCAACAGAGACTATAGCCCGTTTATCTTCATAGATTCGAGCCTCTGGGTTATGATATGCATCTTCATTTTGCTTGTGCATCATATTCAAGTCAGCTGAAGAAGAGGGGGAAACAGCCATTGTTTATTCCAAAACAAGAGGCATGTTTATGGTTGTTTCAAGGCAAATCTTTCTTCAAAATTACAATTAGGAGGAGACAAAAAGGCCATGATCTAAGATAGACCGACATGGTGGATATATTTAATTTAAGCACTTGCTACAAATCCAAATGCTATTGTATAATTACTCCTTTTTATTTTATTTTTAAAGTTAAGACAAGATGTTAACATTGGGTTTTAGGCAAAAGTAGGGCTTCTCTACACTCTAATGTTTTCCTCTACTTCTAGCATCTAACTTTTGCCTAATTATTCATGATAAACCATTCTCCAGATTTATCACCTTTTTATTTGCAATTTATGGATTTTAGGATCATTATTTGGAGATCTTTTGAGGAAATACATATCCTTTTTTTCTCTGCAATTCAGTCTACACTAGAGATGGCAGTGGAGGTATCAACCAAGAAGAAAAATGGCAAAAATCATCATATATTAGCTGGAGTCCCACAAACATAACCAAACTGAAAGAGATCACCTGTCAGCTGGAGGAAACACTGAATTTAGCCCAATTATTCAAATATTCAAATTGCAAACAAACAAGCCACAAAATTTTGGAATGTTGATAAAAACCTAGCAATAATTTCATTTTTATAACTATCAAATTGGATGAAAATGAAATTGCAGAAATACAATGGTTAAGAAATTTAATAAACCAGAAATAAGATTCAGAAAAGATAGACTTTGCATTTACAGCCAGAGATTTTTTGATGCTCTCCTTTGCTTCTCTGGCATCAAGAGTCACTTCCCTGAAAATTTCAGGAACCTCAACCCACATAGGGAGTTCTTCCCATATGATACTTCAATTTTACTTATCAATAATATCAGAGAATATACAGTCTAAACATAAAGTACTAGTATTTCAATGTTTCGTGAAAAAACAATAATACTTAACTACATTATACATTAATATTCTTTGTCACAATATGCTTTTTATTATATCACAGGATTCTCTCTATATTTTATACATTTTATATCTCTTCCCTTTTGTTTACTTCTGTTTCTTGCTACATTTTCCCACTCAAAACCGGTTCTTATAGAAGTGCCATGGAAGTAGAAATGGATGGAATCATAGAATCATAGATGGATAATCTAAACAACTAGAATAAGTTTCTTCTATGCTGTAAATTCGCTGTAGTACATCTTTTTACTCTATCCCTAAGTGCCCTTTATGTCTGGATGTAAAGAGCTACAGATAAAGATAGACAAGGAAAAGGTTTCCCAACTATCAAACGTACTTATGAGATTTCCCTTTTTGTCTCTCAGAGGAGCACCTCCACCTCCTTTTCCCCAAGGATTGTAACTTCTCATTTCCGCTTCTAATTTGGCTTCATACCGTTCCTTTTCCTCCTTTTCCTGCCTGCGACGTTCCTCTCTTTCCTTTATCTACAATTGAAAAAAAATCTTTCAAACAAATTATTCACTGAAGCATTTTAAGGTAAGCATTGAAAATACAATCATAATCAATATCATGTGACTTGACAGTTATATGCTCAATTAAACAAAATTGTCATATTCTTACACTTGTGTGTATAAGAGAAAGGTTCAGCAGAGAGAATCCATTCTAAAGCAGGGCTTCTTAAACTTTTTTGACTCACAATCCCTTTGCATCTGAGAAATTTTGATGTAACCACAGCTACATGGGTATATAAAATAAGTATACAAATCAAACATTTACTGATAATAAATCATAAATATATTTCTTTTGGGTGTGTGTGTGTATATAACCATTTATTAAAGATGATGAAAGAAATTTGCAAACTAATGAGATGGATGTGCTTGTTTTTCTCCCATAAAGAATTATATCTTGGTTGAATATTTGATATTGAAGGAGGTAGAGCATTTTCAGCACTTATCATGGCATGCTGAAATGTTTGGTTTGCAGTGTGAGTGGCAAAATATATTCTGTTGACTCTCCTTTTTTCCCTCCTTAATCAGAGGACCAAAATGGGGTGTGCTGCGGGTCCAGACATCCAACTTAAAAGGTTCTAGGCTGCAGAGTGGACCATGTGTCTGAAATGGGTCCATACCCACCTCCCTCTTGTTCCTATCATGAACATCCTTACAAGCAATTCATATCCTTTCTTTCCCTCCTACTCCCAAAAAAACCCCAAATGGATGATATTAACCCTTCTCTCAATGCACAGGTTGGAGGAAATTTCTTCTTGGACATTTAACAGCAGATGACTGATATTTTTGATTTCAATTAAATATAATTTATGAACCCAACCTAGTTTGTAGAATCAAATTTTAAAGGAGGTATTTCTGAAACTGAAAAGACAGCCACCAATCAAAATCAGCATTTGCAAGGCCTGCTAAATAGGTACTTTTTATGAAGTACTGCTGAAGCACTTTTTTGCACAGTCCGCTGTAAACACAGCACATTGTTGCTAACCCATTCGTGTAAATATCTAAAAGTACTGACTAGGTGGTGTTCAGGAATCTTTTACTGTTGCCAATTTTTTTCGTGACCCCAACATTAAGCTATGCAGCCCCATTTGGGTTTGTGATCCTGCTTAAGAAGGCTTCTTCTAAAAGAAGCAAACGAACAGAACATTTCAAGATATTATCTCTTACTAGTAATATAAAGATCTATTTAGTTTTGAAAAATCTAACAGAGCAATAAATATAGGAAATACATAATCGAAAATAAGATTAATTTATTTCCTCAAATAGGTCACATTAACATAATCTGAATTCAGAACTAAAAAGTCACTACCAAACCTTCCCACCTGCTGCTGTAGTTCTTGCTGATAAGTTAAACAAGTATCTCTTGTGGGCTTTGATTTTTCTTCAGGAAATATTCCCAGTCCTCTTGGCCTATCATTTGTAACTTTTGTTCCAAAGTTACTTCTGCATTCAAAAGAATAAGAAATATTATTTTTATTTATTTATTTATTTATTTATTTATTTATTTAAAACTTTTATATCCCGATCTTCTCTACCTCCGTAGAGGGACTATCCATTTCAAAATTATACTTCAGTATACATTTGACTACTAATCAAAGCTTTGCAGTACTCACAGAGACACAGCAGCAGGTCTATGAAGAGCATCAACAGGGGGAGGTGCAGATGAAGGTTGTACCCCCACGACACCTGTGCCATCTAAAACAATAAGGGCATTCAGTGTTTGAATCTAGGGTTTCTGGCAATATCAAATGTTATTTATGGTGATGAATATTGCTGTGAAAATAAATGTCTGCTTAGTGCCACCATGATGGTGGTATTAGCAGTCCTGAAATTTACAGATGTATGTAGATTCTAAAAAGGAGGCAAAAAATTTAAAAACGCCCAAGAGTGATACTAAAAACAAACAAGATGAAGTACAAAAAGAGCTTAGATTTAGTCACTGACTTATTCGTCAATTGCCATTTTCCTTTCTTCTATAGTTTCACACCTTAAAATAAAACCTTATCAAATGTGGTAAGCTAACAAAAATATGACCAATAAGGGATTGACAAAACCAAAATCTGGAAATGGATGTGGTTTCAGCCTTGGTATTTTGAACTGTTCCTTCTTCCCTCCTCTCATAATTTTTATCTAACTCTAAATGCATTAACATTTGTCTATAAAGAAACAACCATATATTGAGATCACAGCAATCTGTGCTGCTGTACAGAACAGTAATAAAATGTGTGTATCAGCCAATCAACTTACAATATGCAAGGTTGGGATCCAAAGGATTCCTTGCACCATAGAAGTAGTATGCATCGTCGTACGGAGTTCTGTAATTATCAGGCAAAATCTGTGGCGGTAGTGGAGGTGGTAGGGGTGCAATTCTAAATCCAAAACAAAAGACAACATCTCTTAACTGCTGTTTCCACAGAACTAGGAGACAGGATGTTACATCAAAAGGGCAGAGTAAATACTTTGCTGAAGACAATTGTAGATTTTGGTCAACTATATTGCCTCTTTTATAGATATCCTTACACCAATGATAAGATTCTGAAACTATGGCCAAGATCATGCATCAAGCTACATGCTATAATGTGATATTCTATCTAATTGCCCTAATCTGTCTTTTTTTTTTCTAGCTGCAGCCTCCCAAACCTGGCAATGCCCTGGACAGTAGTGGGCAGACAGACATTTTCTTATAGTTGGACACACAGCAACTAGCACCTGAAGGGAACTTTGGAGGTTCTTGAGGAAATTTTCACTCCTCTATGTCACAACCTGGCTTCCTTTCTCCTGGCAATAACAAGGCTCCAGTTTTATTGTACAAATGTTGACTTAATAAAGCAAGATATTCACAATTCCCAATACAGTACATTCTCATACTTCTGTTTTCTACTTCTAAACACCATAATACATATAGGAAATTTTCTGTTATACAGTTTCAACATTACATTCAAAATAAGGAGCTAGACACCTAATTCAAAAGCAGTCAAGATCTAAAATCGACTTCAAACCAAACCAGATTCTAGTTGATTCCCAATCTAAGAACCATAGGTTCCCAACTTGGAGTTTTTGGGTTAATCACAACATGGCAAGAACAATGCAATGTAGAATGTATTGGTAAATGGCTCATGTATAACTTGGTTTCCATGTTCAAATAGGGCTATAGCTGTAGAACAGGGATCCTCAAAAGTGTTAAGCAGAGGGCCGGTTCATGGTTCCTGACTGTTGGGGGAGGATCAGATTATACTTTGAAAAAACACATGAATGAAGTCCTACGCACAGTACGCATATTTTATTTGTAGCGCAAAAAACATGAAAGAATAATACAATATTTAAAATGAAGAACAATTTTGACCAACATAAATTTACCAGTATTTAAATGGGAAATGTGGGCCTGCTATGGCTGATAAGATAGGCATGTTAATTAGGATTGTGGCTGTTGTTGTGTGCCTTCAAGTAATCTCAGATGTAGGGTGACTCTAAGGCAAAGGTTTTGGGTGGAGGTGTGTGTGTGTAAAGGGCCTTGGAGGGCCACATCCAGCCTGCAGGCTTAGTTTGGAGAGCCCTGGTATAGGACAATTTCTACCCTACCATCATTCAAACATAAAGATAACATTTCAAGAAAGCCACCTGGGTGCCAATATTTCTCCAAGACTTGTAGACAGCCCTCTGTGAAAATCTTCATTCATTGGTGAGATAGGAGGTGCAGATATAGAGGTAGGTCCAGGAGTTGGTGTCTGAAAAGCTGGTCTTGGTTTTTCTGGTGGTATTCTCTCCTCAAATATTTGTGGTGTTAATCCAAATTCTCTTAGTCTGTTGGGCTACAGAAAACAGTTGCTTTATTTTAGCTTAGTTTATTGAGATTTTCCAACATTTCAGATATCAGAAGCATGGGTACAAGAAGCGAACACTAAGTATTTCATGAAGATTGCTGATTTTTTTTTTAACAGAAGCATACAAAAGCCTAATTCCAGGTAGGTCTAGCACAAGAATGTCACTAAAGTACCAGCTGTAACTAGGACCTCAGAATTGTCTCTGTTTGTAATGACTAGTCTGAGGTGTAGCTGTTACAATAAATTTGAAAAAAAACTTTCATGGTTAATGCCCAATGTCCTGTTCCCTGGTGTGAGGAAGTATGCCGCAGTGTGCCCACAAGCTAACATTCTGTGGTCCTGAAAATAAGCTGAATTTATGCTGAAGGAAGTAGTGTATTTGCCTGTCCAAAATGGTGCCACTGGAAAAGGGACATGGTGGCAACTGAGAAGAGTAAGAAATTATATGAAGCAGCATAGGAAAATGTTCTGCCTTATGAACTGTCACAACACAGGCTTTAAGTCAGCCATCCTGGCATACATTTGCAGCTTGGCTAGTTACTAACAATTTGAAAGTACTTGTTTACATAAAGTATGCTTCCTGTCAGCACAAACAGCAATAACATGAGATTTAATTGTTTACCAGGGAGGTAAACAGCATCCATGCTTAAGACAGTGTTTTTATTTTATTTCATTTTATGTAAGTTTAAAGTAAGAGAAGACTAGTGATTGGTATAAAGGTGTGTTAAGAACAGAGGATTACTGTGTCCTTTGGAAATTCATGCAGTTTATCCATACAGAAACGTGCTTTTAATAAAATTATCATTTTTGCTACCATTAAGAATCACAACGAATGCCACCTTGAGAGACAAGATCCACACTGAGTGTTTCACTTTCTACTTGGCAGAGGAATCAAGCAGAATCTCTGTTAAACGAAGTGAATCTATATGGAAACCTATAAAGTAATTGACTGAATATTATCCTCTTTCTGTATGTTAGAATGTAAAATTCTATAATAAGCCGGCAATCTGCCTCTAATAAGCTGGCCATCTATCACAATCATATGATTCTGTATCTGATCCATCTGAGGAAAGGAGGACCATCAAAACCTAGACAGTTATTTTGAATCAGGGTGTGAATCATTCAATCCTCCAGGGATTGTTGGACTGCAACTGACTCACAATTAGCTATGCTAACTAGCACTGTTGAGAACTGCAGTTCAATAACATCTGGATGGCCACTTGATTCCCATCCTGCCTTTGAAACAATATCATGTCTTTTTTTTTTTGCTTGGAAAAGAGTGCTCTTTCCTTTTCCATGTATGCAAAATCTGTCTATATTTTGTTATAATATTTCCAAATCTATTTATAATGGAATCCAGAAAGATGCAAAACATGGCTCTTGTCCTAAGCTTTTAAGAGGCTGTTTAATATGACACAGGGCTTTTGGATCGTCACAGCAGCTAGTTAGTGCTGATGTATGAAAGCAATTGATTTGTTTACCAGAAGCCAATGTTCCAGTGTTCAAAATTTTCTCTGATAAGTTTCCTTTTGTTACATGCACAAGGACTATGATATTAATGTATGTAGCATGCCATGAAGCTACTGTCTTTATTCATACCCTTGCTAATGGACTGGAATTTGTGAACATTATACAATTCAGCAGGGGGATTTTTCTAGTCTTTCTAGTTTGCTGAGAAGTGGGCATTTAATGTGGCTTGAACTGCCATCTGTTGGTCACCATCAGAAATACACTGAATTTCATCTTCCTAAAATAGCACTGTGTAATGGCAAGAAAAAACATGGATTAGAAAGCGCTATGCTTCCTTGCTGCATTTTTCCAAATATTGCTCCCAACTGCTTCTTTGAGTAGTTTTGGTTCCTTTTGCCAGATTGCCCTAATGTTAATGATAGAGCACCATCAAATGCTCAACAGTCTCCTTTCCTGAGCTAGTTGGGGCGGTATCATGATTGGCGTTGAGTTTCAGCAGCTAATAGTGCTGGGAGACTTCAACATCCATTCTGAGACTGCCCTGTCGGGAGTGGCTTAGGATTTCATGGCCTTCAGGAAAACCATGGGTCTGTCCCAGGTGGTGTCTTGCCCCCCTGTTGCAGCACCTCCACTGTTTCCAGCCACAATTCAAAGTGCTGATTATGACCTAAACAGTTCAGGTCCAGGCTATTTGGCTGACTGCATTCCCTTGTACAAACCTGCCTGGGCCCTGAGATCCCCTTCAGGAGAAGCCCTTCTCTCGATCCCACCATCTCAAGAGCTCGGTTGATGGGAACGAGAGTGTGCCCTCTCAGTAGCTGATCCTCAACTCTTGAATTCCCTGTCCAATGAAGCCAGAATGGCCTCCTCCCTGCTGTCCTTCCGGTGGGAGGCTAAAACCTTTTTATTCAGACAGGCTTTTAAAGATGACGGTGTTTAAGATCTAGTCAGGGAATGCAGTGATTATATACACTTTTATGGTTTAACTTGAAATGTTTTTTTTAATATTAATTATGTTTAAATACTGTTTTAATATTTGTATATTTTAAGTTGTATTGTAATGCTTTTCTTTGTGAGTCACTTTGAGTCTCTGTATAAAAAGGAAAAAGCGGGATATAAACACAATAATAATAATAATAATAATAATAATAATAATAATGCTGACAATAGGTGACATCTATGGGTTCCAGGCTGCAGGAACAAAACAACACAAACTCATCTAAAAATTGCAAGAATTAACTTTTAATTGCAAGAATTAACTTGCAACAATCCCTCATCACTGCCTACGCTGTCTATGGCTGGTGGGACTTGAAGGCCAAAGAACCATATGGGCTGCTACATAAACTTCCCAGTTCTGCTGTGTTTATTTTCAGAAGGCATTTTAGTGCCTATTTTAACTACATCTTGGTGGGGCAAACAGCAAAGTTGAGGAAGGGTGCATTTTTGTGTATAAAAATCTTTAAAATATTTTTTTTAACTGAAAAAGGAAAGCTATAGGAATGATCTGTAAAATCAGAAGTTTTGTCCTGGACAAGGCAACAAAAGAACTGGGGAGAAGCACACAAGGACTGGTGTTAGTACTCAAATTTGAGTTACATCATCCTTAACTCATTGTTAGATACTTCCATCACAACATTTGGTTGGATAAATTAGTAATGAAGAGAATTGTTCCAACACTAATCATCAACACTCTTGTTAATCTTATACAATCTAAAGATAAAATCAGAATTTAATTTAAAGGAGATTAATGTTGAAATATGTTCAATAAACATTTCTAAAACATTAGCAATTGATGAAAGCCCAATACTTCTATATTATTATTTGCTTCCAAGTTGACTCTGACTTATGATAACCTTATCACAGAGATGATAAGACTTATTCAGAGGAGGTTTGCCATTATTTTTTTCTAAGGTATAGAGAATAATACTTATCCAAGGTAACACAGTCAGTTTGTATGGTTGAGCAGAGTCCTAGTCAAACCACTACATAATGTCAAACAAGAACCTCAAGTGTTATAAACCATCAAATACCAAATTCAGGATATGTCATGCCATTGTACTTCCAATTTCTATATTTGGCTGTGAAAGCTGGATAGTAAAGAAAGCTGATTGGAAGAAAATGAATTCAGTAGAAAGAGACAATTTTACAGATGGACAGACTCAAACAAGTAAGCCATGGTCCTGAATCTGCAGTACCAGGAGGTCTGTTGATGGTAGAGTGACTTGGAAGTTTCTCTTTCACAGGGTCCAGTCTATTTAATATTTACAACAAATACTTACATTTTATTGGTTTGAAGCATATGTAAGCTTTCTTTAGTTGTGATTTGTTAATACTTCAATACAATCTGCACTACCCATTTGCTAAATAAAAATGTTTATTGACAGTTTGAAGAGGTAAAAAAGAAACAGTATCGTGCACCTCATTGAAAAAGCATATAGGTTCCCAAACTATCCTGCTAAGTATCCCATTAACTCTATGGCAGCCCAAATGCACTTATTACTCTTTTCTTTTTCTTTTTTACTCTCACAAACATCAGTGCAATATGGGCACTCTCAGTGGGTTTTGCCAAGAGGAATACAGTTTCTATGTTTATGTACAAACTTTTCCTGCATCCTTCATCATACAGATGAACAGAAAAGTGCTAAGAGCTTGGAACCTCACATGCCCAAATAGGCACTAGATACAAGTCTTGTTGACAAAATAGCAATATGTTAAAGTGTTTACCTTTTCTTCACTTAGCTGCAAGACAGTATATACAATAAAGTTAGTACGTATAACTCCAAAATTCAGGTACATAAAAAACAGTGATTTAAATTTTAAATTTAATAAGTCCTGTTCAACACAGAGTTCATGTCTAATTGACTTCTTGAAGCATCTTGAAGCATATTTGAGTTATGATAGGACAAAACCCTTTTTGTGCCATCAGGCTTTTGCATAGTGATAAAGGCTGGGCTTTGAAATACTACACAATGCTTGTATTAAATAGTTTTAAGAGTTTGCATGGAGCTAATTTTAAACTATTTTAGTATTTTAATGCTTACAATTTAAACTTATAAACTGTTTTTTAAAATAAAAAAAACGTGCATTCTTTTAATATATTGTTAATCACTTTCAGTCCCACTAATGGGCTATAAATGAATATAATAATATTGATGACGACGATGATGGAGATGCAAAAGAGATCTCAGCACACAGAAGTATTTGTTACATTTGGCAAGTCAGGCTACAATTATATGCTGTTCACAAGGAAAGAAGCCCCACTAAAAGCACTAGAACTCACTTCTGATTACAAATGTACAAAAATACACTCGAAGTGCAAGAATTTTCAAACTGCTTTTTAGACTTAATGGAATTTGGGATCTGGTAATGAGGCAATAGCTATAAAGGAAGCCATAAGAAAGAAATGACTGAATAAGCAAATAACAACTGGCTGGTGGCAGGTGTCGCAGCCAGGATGTCTGGAGTCGGGCTGGATGAGTACATTGGGCATCAGGCTCTTGCTGGCCTCTACTCTCAGTGGGATTGTTACTGTACTGCCTTCTGAAAAAGAATTAAGCAGCTGGTCCTAAACAACAGTTTTTCCTTTCCCAAAAAAGGATGTATAAAAGCAGAGACTGCAGAGGCAATCCTTTTGGGCCATACTGGATGGAAACATAGGGGCAGGGATTTCACTATGGAATGGAGACATGGAGTGCTCCAATACAGAAAATTCTCCAAACCAACCACAGCCTATTCTATGTGCAAAGAGGCTCAGGGGTTCTGAATCTTGATTATTCAGCAAGTAGGGGGGACAAGATCGGAATTGGGAGATACTTGTCTTTTCGGCCAAAATATTTGACAACTTTCAATTTGTTCCTTACCAGCACTAGCAGCCTATGGCCATACCACCCCCCCCCCCCCCCCCCAGCTCTGTGTACTATTTATCTATTGATGCAATGTACCTGAAGTGTTTGACTGTCTTTCCTAAGACAGTGCTCCCCTTTTCTTACAAGAAATAGTCCATACAGCCTCCACTTCATAATGGCATGCAGAACCCAGTAATAATAATAAACCAATGTAATGAAGCACCACCCAATAAGAGCTCATGACACTTTTGATATTACCTTTCTCACAGAAACAAAAAAAGGTGATTTGCTGTGTATAAAAGCCCCTTCTTCCCAGTAGTTGCATCTACTAATTCTATGTGAAACACCTTCTTAGTAGAATAGGGAAGCTACCGGTAGGAAGCTACCGGTAGATCATTTATAGGGTTCAATCACATTTGCTACACTAATACAAAGAAGTCATAGAGCTAATTGGAAGAACTGCAGCAGCTCAAAAACTTAAAATAACAGAAAACAGATTTCATTTATGCCCAAACTTTGCTTTCTTTTTCAGTTTCACCCACAGCATACAAAAAACAAACCAATTAAACACAACCTGAGGACGAGCTGAATAGATATCTTTTATAAAGCATTCTAATCAGGATCACTGAGAACTGACAATATTCTCCAAGAACACATAGCAAGTTTGATCTTTTAATTCCCCAGGTCAGAAATAAATCTTGGCACTTTAAAACAAACCATAGTTTAAAAAACTAATGATTTCCAACTTCAAATGATCAAATGAAGGTGAATACAGCTATCTTTTCCATCTGGTGAAGCAAAACTAGGCTTGTATCTACAAGTCTAGAATATTGGGATCAAGTATTGCAAACAGCAATATTAGCATTTGCCTAAAACAATGATCAGGTGTAGAACTTTTGAAAGCATTTATTAGCCCTAACAATAATGCATCAGACCCATTTTATATCAGTTAGCCAAAATGGAAAACAGCAGAACACCACTCACCATTTTCCCAGGGTCTAAAGCTCCAGATGCAGCCACTGGGAGCTCAAGTTCCTTTTCACTATTAAAACAGATAAACAAACCAATACATCAAAACACTGCTGTTCTTCCAAAAATATACATACCACACTTTCTCCAGGGAACATCATTCTAGCATATAAAGGATTATCACATTTTTTCTCACAACAGCCCTGTTGTGTCAGCCCATAATTATTTACCCGAAACTATTTGTTAGGTCTCAATTGTCTAGTTATTTGAGTCCACATCTCCATGGTCCAAGCTGAATGCTCAATTTTAAAGGTGAGGTATCTGTGGTGCCATGGATGTTGGACTCCAGATCCCATAAGCCCCAATCAGCATGGCCAATGAATCAGAGTGACAGGTGTCATTCAGAATCACCAGGAGAGACACAATTAGCTATATCCAATAAACTAGATTTCCTGGATTTCTTGCTTAAAGAAAAGTAATTGGTGGCTGAGTAATTAACACTATCTCAGTCATCAATTTTAGATTTTGGAACATTCTCAGTTTTGAGAAAGATATCAATATATTAAGATATAGACTTAAGGGTTATATCAAATTCCGGATTATTCATAATTTGAGAGATAAATGCTGTGATACTAGAAAGTATCTAGACCGAACCTACCTATTTCCATTAAAAACTGTGCCAACTCACTGTGCACAATCAGGCAACACTAAGCAAAGGACAATTAGAACAGTCATGGTTTTTCCACTAATAACTGTGCTGTATGCTCAAAAAGACACTCTCTCTCCAAGGACTGGTTCAAAGTTACAGTGCAATTTGAGTGGTGGGTTCTAAAATCCAACTAAGACACACATTATTTCATGCTGGTGGTGATAATAAAGCTTCCCTTTACAGTTATCAACTGAAATGATTATTTGCCCAGTAGCCTTCTATTACCGTCTCTTATTCCTCCGTTGCTCAGCAATCTGCTCCATTAATTCTTGTCTATATTGTTCTTTTCTTCTCTGAATAAGCTCTCTGTCTTGACCTCCTAAAACAGAAGCAACATGAATATCTGCAACTTTTTCTCTTACTATCTTATAACCTCAAAAAAATTGTGTAATAGCTTTTCCACCACTGACCAAGACATCACCTCCATATTACTTTGAAAATAATTTTCCCACTTTAATGATGACAGTGAGTTCTATATTAACTGTTTAGTGTGCAACCAAGAAAAATGTAGTTTTCACCACAATCAACTTCCCTATAATTTGCAACAGGGTTTTCCATACATACCAATCATGAGTCCTGTGGCATATGGGGCGGACTGTGGCTGCTCATTAATAGGGGAATTGCCTTGACTTCTGTAAAAAGAGAGAAGTGAAAAGATAATGAAAATAAGTCATTCCAAATTTATGAATCTGAGACAGGTCAAGAAAATATGGTTTACCCCAATAGTTGGTATCATGAAATCCATCATCAAATTCAAGGAATGAAAACTTTGGTTTAATATTATAGGTTGCTTCAGGATTAGAGAGAAATCAGATTCTGTACCACATTTTACATTCCCAAAAGAAATTCCCAAAAGAAACAGAATTTCCAACTAAGTCAAAGTGTTGAGGATTCCTACATAGAAAATAAACTTTAATATTAAAAAGAAAGCCATCTAGGAAAATGGGAGGTTCATATTAACTACTACAGATAATCACTCTAGGAAGATGAAGGGCCGAGTTCTAGCACAGCTGGTAAATCACCAGCAGCAATAAGATCTTAACAACCGAAAGGTTGCTAGTTCAAAGCACAGGTTGGAGGGAGCAATCGACTGTCAGCCCAACTTATTGTCCACCTAAGCAGTTCGAAAAGAACTAAAGAGCTGTTAAGTAGAGAAATTAGGTGCCATTTAAAGCGGGGGAGTTATTTTAGGGCACCATAAAAGGAAATGGTGCCGTAAAGGAAATACCAGTGACCAAAAGGCAGGAGGAAGTCGGTGATGGCTTAGCATAGAGCAGTGTTTCTCAACCTGGGGGTCGGGACCCCTGAGGGGGTAGCGAAGGGATGTCAGAGGGGTCACCAAAGACCATCAGAAAACACAGTATTTTCTGTGGGTCATGGGGATTCCATGTGGGAAGTTTGAGCCAATTCTATTGTTGGTGGAGTTCAGAATGTTCTTTGATTGTAATGAACTATAAATCCCAGCAACTACAACTCCCAAAAGTCAAGGTCTATTTTCCCCAGGCTCCACCAGTGTTCACATTTGCGCATATTGAGTATTTGTGCCAAGTTTGGTCCAGATCCACCATTGCGTGAGGCCACAGTGCTCTCTGGATATAGGTGAACTACAACTCCCAAACTCATGGTGAATACCCACCAAACCCTTCCAGTGTTTTCCATTGGTCATGGGAGTTCTGTGTGGTAAATTAGGTTCAAATCCATCGCTGGTGGAGTTCAGAATGCTCTTTGATTGTAGGCGAACTATAAATCCCAGCAACCACAACTCCCAAATTACAAAATCAATCCTCCCCCAACCCCACTTACATGTGGGTGCATTGGGTATTTGTGCCCAGTTTGGTCCAGTGAATGAAAATACATATCTAATATTTACATTATGATTTATAACAGCAGTAAAATGGCTGCTATGAAGTAGCAACAAAAACAATGTTATGGTTGGGGGTCACCACAACATGAGGGACTGTATTAAGGGGTCGCGGCATTAGGAAGGTTGAGAACCACTGGCATAGAGGATGGAGCAACAGCACCCTCCTGTGGTCAACATTGAACACAACCTCTAGAGAGCAGGTTGGATTCTGATGCAATATATCTCTGTGTTTGTCCTATCTGTTTCAACAGCACTGAATGTTTGCTGTGTATGTGTTCTGTGATCCTCGCTAAGTTCCCTTGGGGAGATAGGGAGGAATATAACTAAAGTATATTATATTATTATTATTAATTCATAACCACTGAAATATTCCCTTGTGTCAGCTGATCAATGTAGGAGACCAAAATTCCAAATTTGCTTAAACCTGTCTCTACTTCATTATCTTTTTTTCAATTTTATCCATGATTATTCATAGAAAGATGGGTATTTTATTTTTAATTTATTACAGTCACGGGTGGAGGTGGACTGCTCCTTCAGGCTTCCTAGAATGATCATTCCTGGTAGGCATCACGCTCTCATTATGAAGAGAAATTCACAGCCATTGGGATTTCCAAACTGATCCTCTAACAAAGTGATTTGTTTGCTGCTAGTAGAACTGTTTGTATAGTAGACTTCTTGTTTATAGCATCTCATTGTATAGTTGTATTATTATTATTATTATTATTATTATTATTATTATTAAACCTATAACTAAGTGAACTAGGTACTGATCTCTTCATCCAGTAGGTTTTTTTTTTTCAAACAAGAGGCTGAGATCTTCCCTGTCCCCATCTGGTTTTGCATTTTCTTTCTTTAAAAGACCCCTTGTAGATGTTATGTTTAATTATCTACCACTCAAGACCTAACTAGTTCTAGAATAACTTAGATTTTAATGCAAGAGAGATAATTTTTTAGCAGTTGGGAAGATATGAGAAAAAAAACCAGAAATGGACAAGCAGGCAATGATTCCAACAGATTGGAATTTTGATCTTCCGCCTTGATCAGCTAGCAAAAGGGAGTATTCCAATGGTTGTGAATTGTTCCTTCAGCCCTTCTTTTTAGTTTGTAACTGACACCAAGCTTGAAAATATATTCTGATAGGACTGCCTAAACAATGAAAGGAAATGTTAAAATATTCTTCTAATTAATATACCGAATTCAAATTGTAAAAAAATATTTTACATTGCATATTTTCTACATTTTAAAAAAGATTTCCAGTCTACCTTTTATTGTGGCAATGCTGGTTTTCTCACAAGAATTAGCATTTTCTAAAAAATAACTGGAGGGACTGAAATGAAATGACTCAGCAGTAACAAAATTAAAGCTACCTTTGAGCATGAAAGACTCGCAAAGGCTTTTTGTCATAGTCACTTTCATATCGAAATCTAGGATCCATTTCGTCACTTATTTCAGGATCATCATCAAACTTATGATGCTTTCTATGACAGATACAAGGTTTGCTATCAAGCTTTTGATGCTTTTTGTTGGAAATGTTCAATTTCTCATCAAGCTTTTTGTGCAATACATGGTCCCCGGATCCAACTTCATGATCTGGTCTGTAATGCTGGTCTAATGATGTTCGACTGTTGGACAACCCTTCATAGTTATCAGTAGAAATACAAGCATCTTTCTTGAGAGGTTCTTCATCTCTTCTCAAGGGTGAATTGGGCATAAGTAATTCTGATTGGACTCTGGTAACCGCCGTGCCTTTTGTCCGTGTGTCTGGGTCACGCTGTTAGCATAAAAGAAAAACACTTTAAAAGCTAAATACGAAAATACTGTTTTGCCCTCTCTTATTTTAATTAACCATTTTTAATTTTAGCAAAAAGGAACTGCTGGAATTTAGATGCTTTTCTATTAGACCACCCAAATATTCTCAGATGAGGTCCCAATCTATGAGATATATTGTCACAGTACAAAGTAAAGAATCTTTCTGGCAGTCTCACTGCAACTTTGGATTGTCCTCCTGAAGATCTGAATAGCGACATTTTGAAGTAACTTAACACCAGGATAAAATATTTTTATTCTCCTGGGCATTTCATTTTATCAATAGCTTAAAGTGACTATGGTTTTTCAGTTGATTGAAAAAAATACGTTAATGTGTTCGAATGTTTGTTCAGCTAGTTTATTTGTTTATTTTATTTCCTGCATTTATAACCTGCCCTTCTCACCCCCGAAGTTGATAATATTTAATTCCTATGTGTTTTATGGTTTAGGTTATACATTGTGGATGCAAAATTTGATATTTCTGAAGCTTTGTTTCCAAAAAGTACCAAATTCCAAAAAATTGAAAAATGAATTTTAGGTGGTAGCACATTGTTGGCTAGGAGTATTATGCATGGATCAAAACTGTCAAAATGTATAAAATCACTTACGTACACCGCTTGGAAAATTGCATCCTATTGTAAAAGAATACACACCCTCAGCACATTTTTTAATTCCTGTAAAATTTGTTCAGATGGATTTAGTACCTTTTGAAAACAAACTCCACATTTGTATACTATGCTGGTACCCACTTCTGCTTTAAATTCTGAAACTAAATAAAGAGAAAGGAAGGTTCCACAAAGTATTATAATTATGGTGTGTATGTTCATATTTTCTTCCCCTAAGAGAGCTAAAAAAGGGATAAAGGACACATTTAAAGGATGTGTCACTCGGAATAACTTCCAGTTTTTAAAAATATACAAAATAAAAGTTGCAAATTTGATCAGGCTATGAATATCAGCCTGCTGTTATTGACCCCATCATGAACAATACCGAATTTGCAGTCTAATTAATGGACATGAAAAATGCTCATGATTACTACTTATTTACTCAATCAAAAATATCACCCTATTGATTCTAATACAATTCAATAAAACCTTCAGTTTACCTCTATGTGCCTCTTTCCTTCTCTCCTTAACTTTTCATTCCACTCCTCTTTTCCCCTGAGATACTGATTGTATTCTTTGTTTCTTTCAAGTCTTAACCTGTCCTAGAACAAACATTGGAGAGTGTATTGAATGTATATGTTTTATGTACAGATATATAATGGAATGATTACTTTTACACCATTTATGAAGTTTTGTTAATAATGCATTTGAAAATCTTGTTTATAATCAAATTTTAAAGAGCGTTTTCACTAGTGTCACTTTTTGTCACTTTTCACTAGTGTCACTTTCTGTTCTGGGGTATTCCTACCCAACCTCCATCAGGATTTGGTTGTGAAAGGGCATTTTCCAACTGCCTCCCGAGAGTGTTTGAGGACCGGGACATCCGTAGGGATACCAATGTGCTTGTTTATAAAGCTATTGTCCTCCCAACCCTGCTCTATGCCTGTGAGACGTGGACTGTCTACAGACGTCACATGCAACTCCTGGAACGATTCCATCAGCACTGCCTCCGGAAAATCCTGCAAATCTCTTGGGAAGACAAGCGGACAAACGTCAGCGTGCTGGAAGAAGCAAAGACCACCAGCAATGAAGCGATGGTCCTCCGCCATCAACTCCGCTGGACCGGCCATGTTGTCCGGATGCCCGACCACCGTCTCCCAAAGCAGCTGCTCTACTCCGAACTCAAGAACAGAAAACGGAATGTTGGAGGACAGGAAAAGAGATTTAAAGATGGGCTCAAAGCCAACCTTAAAAACTCTGGCATAGACACTGAGAACTGGGAAGCCCTGGCCCTTGAGCGCTCCAGCTGGAGGTCAGCTGTGACCAGCAGTGCTGCAGAATTTGAAGAGGCACGAATGGAGGGCGAAAGAGAGAAACGTGCCAAGAGGAAGGCGCGTCAAGCCAACCCCGGCCGGGACCGCCTTCCACCTGGAAACCAATGCCCTCACTGCGGAAGAAGATGCAGAGCAAGAATAGGGCTCCACAGCCACATACGGACCCACAAGAATATTGGAAGACAATCATCCTTGGAAAGCGAGGGATCGCCTAAGTAAGTAAGTAACTTCCTTAGTCCATAGAAGTACTGTAGTTCCATCAGAAGAATGGGAGTTTAGATCCTAATCAAACTTAACAAGTCATTCAGATAAAATATAGGCTTAAATCCATTTATTAGTTTCAACCAGATAAATTCCACTGAAACACTGGAAATCTGGTAAATCAATAATTATGTAAAGATTGATTTACCACTGAGTCAGTGAACCTCCTCTACTCAAGAATCACGACAACATTTAGGCCAGCTTTTGTGTATAAAAAAGCTTCCACACCTCACAAAAACAAAACAAAAGAAACAGTCTATGGACCAAAAATGCAGTAATACACCAAGTGCTTTGCTTAATTGGACAGAAACCAATAAACTACACACACATGTACAGAGATATGCATACACACACAGGGAAAACTGTGGAATAGGTTGGATATGACAGCTCTTGTCCTAACAGAGTAACTAAATGAACTATTTTCTGGTTAGGGTGTATCAAATAGAACAGAGGTCCTCAAACTTTTTAAACAGAGGGCCAGGTCCCAGTCCCTCAAACTGTTGGAGGGCCGGAATATAATATGAATTCCTATGCACACTGCACATATCTTATTTGAAGTACAAAAACACTTTAAAACAATACAATAATTAAAAAGAACAATTTTGACAACTATACACTTATTAGTATTTCCATGGTTGTGTGGGCCTGCTTTTGACTGATAAGATTGTTGTTGTTGTTGTTGTTGTTGTTGTATGCTTTCAAGTTGTTTCAGACTTAGGTTGACCTTGAGCGAGGGCCAGGTAAATGACCTTGGAGGGCCATATCCGGCACTTGGGCCTTAGTTTGAGGACCCCTGAAATAGAAGTTCTATACACTACAGTGCAATACATCATATTATTTTTTTAAAAGACATACTTACCTTAGCTGACCTTCTGTCACCAATAGGAAGAGAAAGTCCCTGAGTGTATGGATCAACTTCACCAGGTGTAAGATATTTTTTCTACATAAAAGAAAAACAGTAACTCAAAATGATCTATTAGGTACCACCACTGGGTTCAAGAAACACATTTTCAAAAGCCCAAAATACTTTAAACCAGTCTTCAAACAATTCACATCACAGAGGAAATCTTTTTATGTCGACAAAAACAGTTTTTGAGAGAACACTATCCTATAGGTCAGTGCACCATTTTGGAACTAGCAAAAGTGACTTTCCAATTAAGCATTGAAGTGTTTGTTATATACTTACTTTGAAACATTAATGTATTATTCCACAACGCTAGACTGAAAACAAAAAGCCAAATCACACTAATCATATTGCTCAATAGAGATTTGCAACTGAAAACATGCAATTTTATTTAAAGAAACATGTAACATAAAGATCAAAACAGAAAACTATGTTTATGTGACACCATTTAACATTCCATTATTTTTAAAAGAAATATTAATTTTAAAAATAAGGGCATCATGCAATAAAAATATATGCATGCTTGCACAGAAATAAGTTCAATCCTATTCACAATTCAGAAAGTGAGTACAGGATTGCGTCAATTTTACCTGTACTTACTCTGCATGCCAACATCAAACAAGCAGGTACAATAAGTTATATTGCTGCAAGATTACTGAAGATAACTTGTCAAAACAGATAAGGAAAACAGAAAGTGCAAGAATGTCAGTAGCATATAATTTACTAATAAGGTGCCCTTTTTGAAAGCAACATAACTTTTATCATTTAAGTCAACCAAAATTATGACACCCACTACGGTGAAGTGATTCAGCAACCTCAGCATGCCCCATAGTAAATATTAGTGTTATTAAAGTTTGTGCAGAACCTCAAGCAGTAAAATCAAATATAAAGGGAAAGACAATCTGACATGACTTGGACAATTGTGATGAGCAAGCTCATATATAGCAGAACAAATACAGAACACAGCAAAGCACAAACAATGATTTTCCCCTGCAAAAAACCCTTTCATTAGCACATTAGAACCAAGCAAGTGTTACAGTAATTTGAAGAGTAGCATGATGCAATTGCCCTACCTTCTTTTTTGCCAGTGAATTTCCCTAAAAGTTAGGAAAATAAACTACTCATAAAGAACATTCAAGGAAAAATGACTTGATTTTATGTATTCTTAATTAACCTCAATGTGGCAACTTAAAACTACAATAGGTCATAGAACAGTTTTGAATTTTAAGAAATATTGATTCTGTATCCATACATTAAAATCTAGATCAGAAATATTTACTTTATTTAAAATAGCATATAAAATACTCAAATTGTACATCAAATTAGAGAAAATAGTCATGTTTAAATTATTAACATTGTTACCACCTCCTAGCACAGGAAGGACAGAATATGATTTCTTTTAGCATTGATTCTATGATTCTATGATCTTATCTATATGCTTATATTTCCAATGTGCAGCTTGTACACTCATGACTCATGACTGATGTAGAATTTCACAGAAGCATTCACTACAGCATGTGTATCTTCTCTCATGCCAGTTTCAGAAGTAGAAGTCATGATTTTAGATATCTGACTGCTGACTCCTCCTTCCCTTCCTTGGTTTTGTTATATAGTCTTGCCAAAGGAAAGGATACAAAAAAGCAAAGGAGACCTTAATCAGAAAACTTGGAGTTAGCAATATCTACTACAGAGCTTTCCAAACATGTTTTACTGGCAAGGCAGGACTAAAAAATGGAGGAAGGAAGAGTTCAATAGACAGACGTCTAAAACTGGTATCTGGCATAAAGAGAGATAACCCACATGATCATAGATTGTTCCTCTGCACTATTCGGAAAGAAATGTTTGCTCCCCTCATGCCAACAATATGTCATTTCCTATGTTCACAAGACACCATTCTTACAATCCTTTCCCATTACAAGAGTGCTGATTTATGCTAACAGAACCTAGTAACACGTTGGTACTAAATTATTTGCAACATTAACTACAGGAAAAAATCACTTAATTAATGAGTGTTTAAATGCACTATTGTTTTAAAAAATTCCACTGGAAATTTAGTCATATATAGTGCCTTTTACCTGAGAAAGATAACGTCTGTAGTCTTGCCGAAGCTCCTCCTTCAGCTTGTGTTTTTTATATTCATATTCTTCACCAAGAGGCAGGCTTAATCCATAGTCTGTAAAATGTAATTCATTTCTTAGGCACGATCTATACAAACAACGTGAATGACTAAATGTGAAAGACACTGAATACCAAAAACGGGAGAAACAGAAAAATATATATTTCAAAATAACTGCTTATATGAAAAGGAACTGCACTGTAAATGTCATTATGTTAAAATTTAGTTTCTTGACACTTCAGAATTTAAAAATGTCAGAGACCTCTGCCCTCAAGAAGACTTTAAATTCATATAATTTAGTTATAGTATTATTTCTTTGAAGTATAATTAAGCAGACCGTTACTACCAATTCAATTCATGACTTTACAAGCATCACTTATCAATAATGAAAACTACTGCCATCCAGAGCTGCCTAACATATAAATAATTCATAGTAGTATGCCTCCCTAAATATCAACTTCTGAAAAACTGTTAAAAACACATCAAAGGCCTGGCTTTGTACTCCAAAGTCATTTAAGAAGCTCTTGAATTATGAGGAAATAAGAGACTTAAAAGCTGTTCAAAATGAATGGCAAAATTTGCAGCTATGCATATAATAAGTAAAAGTATGTTCCAGCAAAGTCAGTTGAATTCTCTGTTGAATAATCCTGCATAGGTTTGGGCTATACATGTTTCAGGTAGTTGTTTTTAAAGAAGCTGTGTGATTTAAACAACTTTTATGTTATGGGCTAGTGTTAAGAAGTTAAGGATAATAAAATGTTTGATCAGATCAAAATGACAAGATGTCGAAGAGACTGCTTTTATCTCTATATTTAAATGTTTTATCATCAAATTAGATTTATTTTCTGAAGTTATGCAACTGTAGACATATAACAACGCATTTTAAGACAAAATCTCACTATTATGCTGCACAATGTATACTGCAATGTGATAACAGCACACCTTATGCCTGTTGGCCCTCTATGACATCATGGAAGCATTGGCAACAAAAGTAGCTCATCATAACAGATCATTGTAGCTCCTTGGAAATAATCTGTAACTAATGAGTACAATGACAGGTCCCTGTTCCTTCACAATTGGATTTCACTTCTCACATCAATATCCATGGGGTAAATCCAAATGCTATCAACACAAACTCTTTAACTGAATTTTTGGGTTGTATTTTTGGTAAGAACATTTTACAACAAATGATTCCCCCAGGCAGGAAACAGCCAGGCATTGAAGCTGCAAAGCCATTAGATGCTAATCAAGGTGGCCATTTGCAACATTCACACCTGCCTCACACAGACAAGAGTTCTTTCTCCCACCCTGAACATTCCACAGATATATAAACATCACTTGCCTAGTTTCCAACAGACCTCTCAACCTCTGAGGATGCCTGCCATAGATGTGGGCAAAACGTCAGGAGATAAGGTTTCTGGAACATGCCCATACAGCCCAAAAAACTCACAGCAATCCAAAATTTTACAGTTTACAAACTGAGAACAGTTTATTTTGATAGCTTCAGACCTTTATTGGTAAATTAAAGATTCTAGTTATGCAACTATCCAATATAAATGTATGGTACATGAAGGTGTATTAACATTTACTAACCAGAATAGCAAACCAGAACTTCCATTCGCAGAAGTAGTTTTCCTTTAAATATCAATTACAATACCATGGGCATATACACCAAGACTTACCATGGAAACATGAAACCTTGGATAATAGGGACCCTACTGAAATTAACGACTTCCAGCAGAAACAAACTGACAATCACACCAGACAACATACAAAAATGCCTAGAAAAAACATTTCTAGCTCCTCAAGTGCAATTCTATGGGCAACTTCCACCAAAGGCACCATTGATGAAGAATTGTATTCTTTATGTTTTAAGGCATAACAAGCATATGGACCAGAAAAAAATATGGAACACGTACTTTTTGGGGTGCCAGCATGATGTTTTCCTAAATGCCTCTGAGGGTGAACAGCATTTAATTGTTACATTAGGTCATTTTTGATGATGTCATTTCAGCTACTGTCAGACTACTCACTATTACTGTTAATACTAAAATAGCTCTAAACATAGCTAAGATGCATCGAAACATCTGCTATTTTGTGAATTTAATTTTAATCTTTTCAAACTTGTCAATTTATCTACATCTTTGAAATCAGATAAGAATTAGATCAATGTGCATTGAAATGATTTCATCCTAAACCTCTAAATGAGCACAAAATTATTTTTAAGAGACACAGGAAAATAAAAAAGACAACTTTTACAGTTACAGTGTTCCCTCACTACTTCGCAGTTCGCTTTTAGCGGACTCGCTGTTTTGCGGGTTTTTGAAAATATTAATAAAAAATAAAAATATTTATGTCCAGTGGAGGCCAGGGACCCCGGAAGTGTGGCAGCCTGAGGTGCGGCAGGGAAGGCCTGCCTCCCTGGCCTGCTGCTGCCTGCGTAGCTCCGGAGGCTCAGCAGGGATCTGTGGAGGCCAGGGAGGCAGACAGGTGCCGGGAGGCGGGTAAGGAAGCACAGATAAGAAAATAATATATAAAATAATGTATAAAAATTAAAATTACTTTGGCGTACCTACTCTGCGGATTTTCACTTATTGCGGGTGGTCCTGGAACAGAAACCCCGCAATAAGTGAAGGAACAGTGTATTTATAACTATAAATAACTATAAATAGCTCCTATTCAATAGGGAAAATGTCACCTTATTAAATGCCTGTAATATATTTATAAGTATTATTTTGTAAATGCTGAACTTTTTCAGCTGAAGGCAAGGATACTCGACTTGTACCTTTCCTGCTGCAGGGAGACAAAATGGCTGAGGGATGTGTGTGTTTTTTTAATATGGCAAAGGATTATGCAAACCTCACCTATGCACTCCATTCAAGATATCTATAGCAGCAATATCTTCTATTTCCATGGATTAATATTTTATTCTTGATATATCTTAGACAGTTTTCAATATGTGTCAAAATATCTTATCTTTAGATACATCTTATTGACCTTCATTGTCAAGAAATGTTAGTTTCTAAAATATCTCAATAATCTTCATTGTATTTTACCCTAACAATCCTGAAAGTAATTTTATTCATTTTGGCCCCATGTGGAACAAAAATCAAAATAATTTCAAAAAATTATGTACAGGCAATCCCCAAGCTACAAACATCCAACTTACAAACCACTCATAGTTAAGAATGGGGGTGAGACAACAGGAAGTGAGAGAAATCCACCCCTATGAAAGAAATTCACTCCTGGAAGTGTTATGTGGAAAAGGTGTCTCCACTGAAGCTTTATCATGAATTCTGGTTCCAAAACAAGCCAAATTTTTCAAAATCCAATAACCACAGAGACAGGGGCACAGACAGGAAAACAATGCCTAGGGGTGTTAACCCTTACCTATGTTGTCCATAGCAAATGGCTGGAGCACCTAAAAATGTACCTGTTCTGACTTACATACACATTCAACTTAAGAACAACCCTACAGAATCTGTCTTGTTTGTAATTTGGGGACTGCCTGTACTGATAGTTTCAAATTTTCAAATCCACAACTTTATACTGCCTAGTCCAATCTGAAAATCACATTGCTTCAATAAATTACTCTTTTTATTTTTCATTAAGTCAATTGAGATTATAAAGCCAAAATTCAATTTAATAATAGTTTCCTCACTCAAATATTATTCTGCAGTTTCAGTTTGTAATTAGTTCAACACAGGTTTCCACAATATTTTGTACAAAAAGCTTAAACATTGTTCTCGGGATATATGCGACCTTGATCACAGATGGAAGCAACTGAAAATAGCAGTGTGACAGCATGTACCAGGATAAATTAAATTTAAGCAGAAGTAAAGCAACTACTGTACACTGAAAGAAAATAAAGATATTGCTAAGTAACAACTACCTTGATGTAATAACCCTCTATAGAAGGCATATTTTACTAAGTCCAAGACAAAAAAATACAGTATGCTCTTCCCAATTTGAAGTTTTCAGATTTGAGAAAGGCAAATGTGAAGTTTTATTAGATTTTCAAAAGAGCTATTTATTTATTTATTTACTATATTTTTACTTCACCCTCTCTCACCCCGAAGGGGTGGCTTGCAAGTTGGCAATAATTTGATGCCATATAAACATACAATAAGCATATAACTTAAAAACCATAACAATTAAAAAACATCAATACATTAAAACTAAGAATTAAAAACACACAGATCCAAAGTCATAGTCTAGGAGCCATTCCAATCGTAATGCAACAAGTTAAAAAATAAAGAACACGGACACTAAAAAAAAACAGAAACAAAATTAAACAGAATGATCAAATACAAAAATAACCTTATATTTGTCCCACTTCAATACTTTACCCCACCTCTACCAGCTAAAATTAACAAATACAGTAAACTCTACCCCCTTTTCCTATTTAAATAAAACATTAAAAACATGACAAACTTCTTCCCTCCTCAAGCAAAGCAATTATCAAACTTATTCTTCTTGTTTCTACTTAATTGCATTTCAGCTTATCCCAAAATGTTATAGATAGGCACATCTGCAACTTAATATAAGCTCAAAAACCAAATGTAGATTTAAACGGTATTTCCGACATAGTGTAAGAGCTATCAGGGTATATGGGGCGCAATACTATAGCTCACGTGAATGCAGTATAAAAAAAAGCACGGCAGAGGACTGCAACAATGTTTCATAGCATCTGAGAAGCCACACTGTTACACATATCCAAAGAGCTTCTTCTTTTTTGGACTACTAAGCAATTCCAAGCAGATTATATTACTCGAAATGAATAATCCAGTTTTAAGGCACCCCTCTGTCATTTTTTTGTTAACTCCTTGGTATGGTGAGTACAGGTACTTTTTTTCATTTCTCCTGCTCTTTCCTGTGAGAAAGACCACTTTGTAAACCAGTTTCTGCATAGTTAGCTGTGCAGTTACAATATACTGTATGTTAACCTTAATGCAAGACAGCAACCATTTTAAAAAGATAATAACATATAAATACCGTGTACACCTGTCTCTTGACTATTTGGAGGTATATTTTCTTTAGCCATGGATATTAACATTTTGCTGGTCTCTGAAAGCTTTTCAGTACTTTTGTTCTGAAAAGAAAAAGCATAAGATGACAGAACGCCTCAAAAAACCACTGAAGTTCAAGTTCATTTTATTACAGTCAATGATCAGCTCATGAGAAGAGGGACACAGTCCTGCACAAACACATAAGTCTAAGGGTCAAGAGATTTAACACTCTAGTTTCACTGAGCCTTCTTTGAATGCAACTGAGGGATTATAGTATTTTGGAGGTATTTTTCATAGAACAGTTGTCACAAATGTAAATATTATTCTTCCTACCAAGTATGTGTTTACATAAGGCACAGGAATGCAGTCCATTATTTTAAAATGCGTGTGTGTGTGTATACATATGATATTTTAATGTAAGTCCCCTTCAGGAGAGATACTGTAAATGGTGTATAAATATAAATATAATAATAATAATAATAATAATAATAATAATAATAATAATAACATGCACTGAAATTTCATCTTACGTGAAAACTCTGAATTATCTGGGTAGCAATTCAAGTTTGCACAAAATATTGAATTGATTGATGTAATATGAATAGACTGTGAAGGCTGTAAGCTCAACAGCACAGTCCTTTTATTCAAAATCATGGGAAAAGACTGAATCCAATAACAATTGCCCTTTTAAAAATAACATGCCAAGCTCCGAGTTCACACTTCACATCAACTTTTTTGAAGTGTAAAAATCTTACCTGCATTTCCATGTAAGGTGGATCATTTTCAAGTCTTGCCTTGTCTTGTGCCAACTTGGCTTTTTGATCTTCAAGAAATTGGTCTAAATCTTCTGCCATCATTTTGTGGATTCTGGAAACGACACAGGGTTATTAAAGGCAGTATCTAATAACTAAGTAACAGACAATTTATTTTTCTAAGAATTACACTTTAGCTGTAACAGAGACAGATATACCTTAACTGGAGAACTGGGAGCAATAAAGTGCCCTCAAATTGTCCCACGGGCCCAAATACTGTGGACACCAACAGTCCCTTTATTTTGAAAATGCTGCTGGTGGTAAATGGTAAAAAAACCTGATGGATGGTTAAAAAAAACCTGCCACTCAGGACATGATCCTGAATGCGCATACTGACATGGTGTATACCATAGAAACCTGACCAGAAAAGGCTGGGGCCACAAGGATTATCTGTGAAGCAACAGGCAAGACCTGGAAGAGATGGAGTTATAGTTGTCTATTGGGTCTATTGTGCTGTCACACTTATACAAACTGTCCAGGATTTTTAATACTTAGACTAACCTTCCACACAGCTGAATAAAATCCCACATTTTCTGCTTTGAAGTGGAATATATGGCAGGGTGGACTCAGATAACTCAGTTCAAAGCAGATATTCTGGGTTATATTGCCATGTGGAAGGGTCCTAAGACCAAGAAGTCATCTCTATTGAGAATGTCTCATGCCTAACTTCCCAAGATAATGAGCCTATGCTGCTTGAAAACTGTCCATTGAGAAACACCAATATGCACTACTGCAAAAAGTGATTTAGAAAAAACAAGCCTCTAGCCAAAATCTCTGCTTCCATTACAGATAATCAGGATATCTTGAAAGATCATACTATAAGTTTAGATTACATTAGGCTCAGCATTGGCCTCAATGCATCTCATTTCACTACTGGCTGGTTTCAGTGCCTTTGGAAGTTTCACATTACAGCAGTTGCTCCACAATACAGTTGGCCATCAATATCAACATATTCAGCAACATTATCAGCTTGAAAACCATTTCAAAACCCTGACTTGCCACTTTACATAAGGGCCACTGTTGTAATAGATCATGTATATAATGGGGTGTGAGCATCTACAGGATTTGCTATTCATGTAGATTCTTGAGCCAAGCCCCAGCCAATACCAAGAGCCCACTATACAATCTCATGCACACTTAACAGAACATATTCCAATACATCGGTGGCATTTTCTTCTGAATTAACATGCTCAGGAGTGTCTTCTCTGTTTGAAACTGCATTATTTGGCAGCGTTGCTCTAGTCCAGTGGTTCTCAACACCTGTGGGTCTCCAGGTGTTTTGGCCTACAACTCCTTGAAATCCCAGCCAGTTTACCAGCTGTTAGGATTTCTGGGAATTGAAAGCCAAAACATCTGGGGACCTACAGGTTGAGAACCACTGCATCTATGGGTTGTTGTAGTTTTTTCCGGGCTATATGGCCATGTTCTAGAGGCATTTTCTCCTGACATTTCACCTGCATCTATGGCAAGCATCCTCTGAGGTAGTGAGGTCTGTTGGAAGTAGGAAAATGGGTTTATATATCTGTGGAATGACCAGGGTGGGACAAAGGACTCTTGTCTGTTGTAGCTAGGTGTGAGTGTTCCAGCTGACCACCTTGATTAGCATGTAATGGCTTGGAAGTGGCTGGGGGGAATCTTTTGTTGAGAGTGATTTGATGTGCCTGATTGTTTACTCTCTGTTGTTTTGCTGTTGTAATTTTTGAGTTTTTTTTTAATACTGGTAGCCAGATTTTGTTCATTTTCATGGTTTCTTCCTTTCTGTTGAAATTGTCCACATGCTTGTGGATTTCAATGGCTTCTCTGTGTAGCCTGACATGGTGGTTGTGGTCCAGCATTTCTGTGTTCTCAAATAATATGCGTCTATTATAATGCGTCACCCCCCTGCTATGCCAGCTCTACTGGCTGCCGGTTCAATTCCGAGCACAATTCAAGGTGCTGGTTTTAACCTACAAAACCCTGTACGGTTCCGGTCCAGTGTATCTGTCCGAACATATCTCCCTTTACGTCCCACCTCGGAGTTTGAGATCATCTGGGGAGGCCCTGCTCTCGACCCCACCACTGTCACAAGTGAGGCTGGTGGGGACGAGAAGCAGGGCCTTCTCAGTGGTGGCCCCTCACCTGTGGAACTCACTCCCGGGGGAAATCAGAGCATCACCATCCCTCCTCTCCTTCAGGAGGAGGGTGAAGACATGGTTGTGGAACCAGGCCTTTGGGCAACCAGGCAATTAAATAAGACAATTAAATAAGACAATCAGATGTGCAAGATCAGCAGGATTGTCGAAGTGGAATCAAAAACAGATCTATGAGTTAGTGTACACTGATAGGGTAGGAGGAAGAATTAGGTTTGTATTGATTTTATCGATTTTTATTGTTTTTATTGGGATAATGGCTTGAATTGTGGTAACTATGAATTGTTGTACTTCTGTGATGATTGTTTTGTGTGGCAGGCATCTAAGCGTGCCTTTGCTGTTGTAAGCCGCCCTGGTTCCCCTACGGGGTGAGAAGGGCGGGGTACAAGAACCCCAAATAAATAATAAATAAATATTATAAGTAAGGGCCCTTCCACGGAGCCATATAACCCAGAATATCAAGGCAGAGTAATCCACAATATCTACTTTTAACTAGGTTATCTGAGTCCACACTGCCTTATAATCCAGTGAAATGTGGATTTTCTACAGCTGTGTGGAAGGGGCCTGAGTTGTGGGGAAGACAAGAGGAAGGCTGAGTTGTGAGGAAGAGAAAAGTCACTCTCGCTTCCACCTCTTTAGAAGGCGGCGGTCCCTTTAAGGAGCTCCTCGGCGTTGTTAGGCAACCAGAATACAACACAAAGCGGAGGCCTCAAAGCCGTTAGGGAGGGAAGAGGCCTTGCTCGAAAGGCGGGCCTGAAGGAACCCAACACAGAGTCAGGGCCGAACTCCTAATCTCCCCGCTTTCCCTCCCCGGCGTCTTGTCCCCAATCCCTGAAGGGAAAGCGCTTCTCCTTTTACGGCTCACGAAATACCTGATCCTTCCGCCTGCGTCTTCCTCCCACCGCCAACCCTGTCTTCGCAGCTGTAGCGGCACGAAACCGGCTTAAATCCGCCTCTCCCCGGCGAGGCCTAGCCAACGGCGAATTGTCAGCAGCAACTCCCGCCAAGCCTACTATGTCTCTCTCTCTCTCTCTCTCTCTCTCTCTCTCTGCCGCTCAAGCCAAGTCTCTAGGCAACCCTTTCCCCGCCTCCTTTGAAAGGAGCCCGCCCGGCAGCTCCCCCTGCAGGTTGGGACTGGGAGCACACCCCAATTCATCTCTCTATGGCAGTGGTTCCCAACCTTTTTTTGGCCACTTTGAACAGGGACCACGCTCCAACATTAGTACCAAAAAAGTTACGAATCAGTTTTTGGTCACCATTAGATTCGGGTTGTTGTAGGTTTTTTCAGGCTATATGGCCATGTTCTTCAAGCATCCTCTCCTGACGTTTCGCCTGCATCTATGGCAAACATCCTCAGAGGTTGTGAGGTCTGTTGGAACTAGGAAAATGGGTTTATATATCTGTGGAATGACCAGGGTGGGACAAAGAACTCTTGTCTGCTGGAGCTAGGTGTGAATGTTTCAATTGACCACCTTGATTAGCATTTGATGGCCTGGCAGTGCCTGGGGCAGTCTTTTGTTGAGAAGTGATTAGATGTCCTTGATTGTTTCCTCTCTGTTGTTTTGCTGTTGTAATTTTAGAGTTTTTTAATACTGGTAGCCAGATTTTGTTCATTTTCATGGCTTCCTCCTTTCTGTTGAAGTTGTTCACATGCTTGTGGATTTCAATGGCTTCTCTGTGTAGTCTGACATGGTGGTTGTTAGAGTGGTCCAGCATTTCTGTGTTCTCAAATAATATGCTGCATCCAGGGTGGTTCATCGGTTTGGTTATTTGGGGTGCTGATTCAGAAAATTGCATTGGGTAGACCACATTTGGGGCCCCAGTGGTGCGACAGATTAAACTGCTGAGCAACTGAACTTGCTAACCAAAAGGTTGGCTGTTCAAATCTGGGGAGCAGCGTGAGCTCTCACTGTTAGCCCCAGCTTCTGCCAACCTAGCAATTGGAAAACATGCAAATGTGAGTAGATCAATAGGTAGATCAGGCTTTGTCATGACTGGTAAATCACCAGCAGTGATAACATCTACCAACCAAAAGGTTGCCAGTTCGAAGCCCCGTGTCAGAGTGAGCTCCCGACTGTCAGCCCAGCTTACTGTTGACCTAAGCAGTTTGAAAAAGCTTGAGCTGTACTAGAGAAATTGGGTACCACTAAAACAAGCGAGGGAGGTATTTTACAACACCATAAAGAAAAAGATCAGAAAATGCCCGGCGACCAAAAGGAAGGAGGAAGTCTTGATGGCTCTTCGTCATAGAGGATGGAACAACAGCACCTCCGTATAGCTGGATTTGAGCACAACCTCCAAGGCACCAAAAAGCTGGATGTTGACACAACATGCCTCCTTTCTGTTCTGTTGTATCTGTCTGGCTGTCCTGTCTATCCCAAACGGCACTGAATGTTTGCCATGTATGTGTACTGTGATCAGCCTTGAGTCCCCTTGGGGAGATAGGGCAGAATATAAGTGTTGTTATTATTATTATTACCACTTCTGCAGGAAAGTAACACGCTCTATGCAGTCATGCTGACCACATGACCTAGGAGTTGCTGATGAACAATGCTGGCTCTTCAGCTTAGAAATAGAGATGAGCACCACCACCCCGAGTCCAATACTAGGCTTAATGTTAGGAGAAACCTTTCTGATACGGAGCATATGCCACCCAGTAGTCGCCATCTGCTTGCCCACAGAAAATCATATTTAATCTAGAGCTGATGTGGTAGTAGTAATCATTCGTGGGTAGTCAACCTCTCCCCTCTCGATATCCCCGTTGCCTTGGCACTATAAGGTTTCACAAGACCAGTCACTCTCATTGCCACGTGGTTTCGAGGCAACAGTGTAGCAATGGTGAGACCATGGACCATATTTTCATTCTTGTGGACTACGTGGAATGCCATGTCTCAAGGCAATGACATCCCAGGAGTTGTAGTTTTACAAGGTCTTTAGCCTTCTTGGGCCAAAAGTGCGGCCTCCCTAAATTATAATTCCCAGGATTCCATGGCATTGATCCATGGCAGTTCAAGTGGCGTCAAACTGCATTAATTCCACAGCGGAGATGTACCCTTAGACGTAAAGTAGTGTGATGTAAGAGTGGAACTGTAGGGAAAAAAACTCCTTTGAATTGTTGATGCTGGAATGTGGATGTGTGAACTAAAGGCATTTTCTCATCCAAAGAAGCAATCTTCTTTTCTTGTGCAGCAATAGCAGAAATTAAAGGCCAAATCCTGAAAAAATAGTAACAATAATTTGAAAAAAAAACTTGCACTATTTAGAGAGATAGAAAAGCCCACTTTTAACCCTCAGGCTTCTTACCACATGGGTCTGGTATCCCCAGATTCTGAATCCTTGGATTTGGCCACCCATGACTTGAAAATATATTTTAAATCCCAAAAGCAAACCTTGATTTTGACATTTTATATCAGGGATACCATATTACTATGCCACTGTATACACTGGGAATTAAGCATCCACAAATAATGGCATCCACAGGAGTCCTGGAACGAAACTCCAGCAGCTATTGGTATTACTTAGCTGTTTTCATATGCTTCTGTTCTGCAGTGTGCTAGGATTGAATTGTTTTTGTAAATAACTCATTTACTGGAGTTAATAGACTTCTAATTTAGACATACTTAAATAGGGATATGCTTATCCATTTGAGTAAGAAATCCAACTACTGGTTCTATGTGTGTTTTAAAAGAAATGAGAGCTAAAAGGATATCGCCCATGAAAAGCACCTCTATGGACATGGGTGGCTTCTTAGTAGTGAGCAAAGATACTGAAAGAAATTTATTTGACACACTTTACATTGCTTGAAAGGAACTCAATAAAGTAATTAACAAAGAGAAGCACGGGAAGTATTCCATATATTAATTGGGAGTGGGCATGCTCATCAAGCTCTGAAGTAATAGTTCTCAACCTCTGGGTCCCAAGATGTTTTGGCCCTCAACTTCCAGAAATCCTAACAGCTGGTAAACTGGTTGGGATTTCTGGGAGTTGTAGGCCAAAACACCTGGGAACCCACAGATTGAGAATCGCTGCTCTAAAGATTACTTGCTTAAATGAAAACTATTTAAAAGCTTGGGTGGTTGATTCCTAGACATAAAAAGCATCCACAAGATGATTATATTGTTGGTATTTATAACAGAACTTGAGGTGGCTAACAAAAAAAATTAAATGCAAGTTTAACAAACAAAAATAATGTTACAAATATGCAATTTAAAAAAATAAATGTGCAAATCAAAACATATTTTTAAACTTTTTATTTATTGCAAGTTTTACATATTCAGTGTTTAAACATTCTTATACTTATCACTTGCCCTTAACAAATTATATACAGAACATATATGTTTTAATACCTATAATATTTCATCCTCCCGCTTATTACATTTGTCCAATCACCTAGTGCTGACCCTTCATCCTAGACCAAGGAGCCCCCCGTGACGCAGTGGGTTAAACCCCTGTGCCAGCAGGACTGAAGACCGACAGGTCGCAGGTTCGAATCCGGGGAGAGGCGGATGAGCTCCCTCTATCGACTCCAGCTCCTCATGCAGGGACATGAGAGAAGCCTCCCACAAGGATGATAAAAACATCAAAAATCATCTGGGCATCCCCTGGGCAACGTCCTTGCAGACGGCCAATTCTCTCACACCAGAAGCGACTTGCAGTTTCTCAAGTTGCTCCTGACACGACAAAAAAACAAACAAACCAGACCAGCCAGTTGCATTACTTATTTCCAAAATTCCATTGTTTCTATTACAGGTTTGGTCCCCTTACCTTCTATATATACATATTCTATCAATTTCCCCCATATCTTCCCAAAATCATTTTTTTCAGTAGTCCTCTTTTAATCTTTATACTACCTGTCAAATTATCGTTTATTGCAATATCCCAGATCTCCCTATACCACTCTTCCAATCGGCTCTCCCCTCCTTTCCATTTTTTAGTTATTAACTATCTTGCTGTTTTACTAGATTGGCAATTAATTTATTTAGCTCTTTTGATATTTTAACATTATCAATAAATGATAGCAGTGCTATTTCCGGCGTTCCTGTTATCTCTATTTGGGTGATTCTTATTTCCTAAAATACATTTTCCCAAAAAAATTGGACATATTTACAAGACCACCATATGTACCAGTATCTTGACAGCCCTTCCAGCACTTTTTAGAGTATTTCTTATAGATTTGATTTAATCTGACTGGTGTGAGATGCCATCTCCACACTACTTTGTAATAATTCTCTTTTATTCTTATTGACATATTTTTAATATACACATATTCCACATTCCTTTCCAATTTTGGGGGTGTTTTACTTTAATACAATCTGATTCCCACATTCCTTTGAGCTGGTCCTGCTCCTGGACTACTTCCAACAGTATTTTATAGATATCACTTGTTATACCTTTTTGTTCTTCCTTTTTCTTCTTTATTCCCCCTTTGGCTAAATAAGTTCTCTATCTCCTTTATATTTCTTTCTTATTCCCCTTAACCATATTTCCAATTGTAGAACTTTATACCACCCAACACTTTCTCCTGATAATTGGTCCTTTTTCTCCTCTATATTTTTCATCTTTGGTTCCCAGTCTTTTAATTTCATTATTCCTTTTTCTTTTAATTCTCTTTCTAACTCCTTTTTGAGATTTATAGGAAAATTATTTGTAATCAACACTGGAGTTAATGGGGAGATCAGCGGTATTAATTTTTCTTCATACTTAGACCATATTTCTAATTTTTTTAAGGGTTCTCTATTTTGTTATACCATTTCTTCTCCAAATTCCTGGTTTTCCCTATGAAGAAAATATATTCTAGATTCATATCTATGTCTTCACTCTCTTCTTCTAACCATGCTAAATTACTCTGACCCATAATCCCTTCGACAATATACCTTAACTGGTTTGCTATATAGTATAACTTAAGTTTGGTATTCCCAAACCTCCCTTCTTTTGTATTTTATACCATTTTCCTTATTAATTCTAGCTCTTTTATTCCCATTACAGAATATTCTTCCAGTTTGTAATTT